CAGTGAGAGCTCTGAAAATGTGGAATAGACTCCCTCAAGAGTTGGTTCTGGCCAGCTCAGTGGATTGCCTCAAAAAATCCTGGATTCTTTCTTAAATATTCTTAAGAATATAACTGGATACTAACATTTATAGGTAAAGTTGATCCAGGGAATATCCGATTGCCTCTCGGGGGGATCAGGAAGGAATTTTTTTTCCCAGCAGGTGCAAATTGGATCGTGCTTTACTGGTTTTTTTTTTTCCTTCCTCTGGATCAACTGTGGGTATAGGATTATAACTTTTTTTTTTTCTATGGTTGAACTGGATGGACTTTTGTCTTTTTTTCAGCCAGACTAACTATGTAACTATGTATAAATAATCTAATAGATGTAGTTGTAAGGAGGTCTCCAAAATATTGAACATATCAGGAATGCCATATGAAAAAATAATTTTTTGGTAGATGTATCAAATGAATATTATATAGTTTTGCTTTTGGGTTTAACCAGTTGCCGACCGCAGATAGCCGAATGACGGCTACACTGCAGCCGGCCAGTTCTGGGAGGGCGTCATGCCGTCCTCCCAGAACCGTCTCCTGCACGCCCCAGCGAACGATCTCCGTGATCGCTGTATCCTACGGACACAGCTGATCATGTGATGTGGTAAAAGGCCAATCACAGCGGTCTTTTACCACATGATCAGCCTTGTCCAATGACACGCTGATCACAGGGAAATGAAATTGCCGGTTCTTGGCTGCACTTTCCTCACGCTGTCAAATCGTGAGGAAAGTACTGCCGAGAACTGGCAGCTGTTAGAGCAGGGATTGGCACCGATCATCAGGGCACTGATGATCAGTGCCCTGATGATCGGTGCCCAGCAGTGCCACCCACCAGTTCTGCCCACTTGTGTCCAGCAGTGCACCCACCTGTGCCCACCAGTGCCACCCAGCAGTGCACCCACCTGTGCCCACCAGTGCCACCCAGCAGTGCACCCACCTGGGCCCAGCAGTGCCCACCAGTGCCACCCAGAAGTGCCACCTACCTGTGCCCAGCAGTGCCACCCACCTGTGCCCACCCACCTGTGCCCACCAGTGCCACCCACCAGTGCCCATCAGTGCAGCCCAGCAGTGCTGCCAGTCAGTGCCACCAGTCAGTGCCCAGAGGTTGTGCCAGTCAGTGCCCAGCTTTTGCTCCAGTCAATGCCTAACAGTGCCGCCAGTCAATACCTAGCAGTGCGGCCAGTCAGTGCCCAGCAGTGATGCCAGTCAGTGCCACCTATCAGTGCCGTCTTATCAGTACCCATCATCAGTGTCCCCTATCAGTGCCACCTCATTAGTGCTACCTATCAGTGCTGCCTATCAGTGCCCATCAGTGCTGCCTATCAGTGCTCATTGGTGCTGCCTATCAGTGCCCATCAGTGCTGCCTCATCAACGCACATCAGTGAAGGAGAAAAATTACCTGTTTGCAAAATTTTATAATAGAAACAAAGAAACTTTTTTTTTTCCACATTTTTTGCATTTTTTTTGTGTATAGCGCAAAAAGTAAAACACCCAGCGGCGAGTAAATACCACCAAAAGAAAGCTCTATTTATGAGAAAAAAATGATAAAAATTTCATATGGGTACAATTTTGCATAACCGCGCAATTGTCAATCAAAGTGCGACAGCGCTGAAAGCTGAAAATTGGCCTGGTAAAGAAGGAGGTATACTGTAAGTGCCCGGTAGGCAAGTGGTTAATACCACTTTAAAGGAATTCTATTACATAGTTACATAATTAGTCAAGTTGAAAAAAAGACACAAGTTCATGTAGTTCAGCCACTAGTAAAAAAAAAGTATGTACAGTATTTGGAAGTTAATTCAGTTTTCTCCAGACATAAAGAGTGCCCGTTTGTCTTTTGTAACGACTGTAAGTGAATAACTGCACTGCAAGTTCAATTTATGGACGACTTATGTATTTGTACATGTTGATCATATTCCCTATAATTTGCTCTTCTCAAAAGAGAATAAATTCAGTTCCTCTAATCTTTCTTCATAGCTGAGCTCCTCCATGCCTCTTATCAGTTTGGTTGCCCTTCTCTGTATTTTCTCCAGTTCTCCGATATCCTTTTTGTAAACTGGTGTTCAAAACTGAACTACAAATTCCAGATGAGGTCTTACTAATGATTGTACTGAGAAAAAAAATTGGCAACTTAGCATTGCATGCTATTATTAAGTCTATGATCTACCACAGTGGTCTCCAAACTGCGGCCCTGGGGACGTATGCGGCCTTTTGCTTGCCTTTGTTTGGCCCTTGGGCCTTTCACTGATATGAACCACTATTCTGCCAACTGACACCAACAATGGGGCACCATTTCTTCCACTGACACCAATAATGGGGCACTTTTCCACCCAATAATACCAACAATGGGGCACTATTCCTCCCCCACATACCAAATGTGGTGATGCTTATATCTACTAATGCCAGGAAAATTTCCACTGCCGCAGGCCACAGTCTGACCCCCTCAAAAGTCTGAAGTACAATAAACTAGCCCTTTATTTAGAAAGTTTGGAGACCCCTGATCTACCAGAACACCCAGGTCTTTGACTGCCCCAGCTGTTTTCCTCCTAGAATATCCTAAACGTTTTTATACGTACCTTGGTCAACAAGTAGCTAACCACTACTCTCTGAATACAGTCTTATAGCCAGTTTTCTATCCATTTACAAACTGAATTTTCTAAGCCTATAGACTTTACCGTACACATTTTCTGGGTGTTAGGAATATGTTCTTGCAAAGTCCAAGTATACTATATCAACAACCACTCCTTTGTCAATATTTTTGCTTACCTCCTCATAAAAAAGAAATCAGATTTGTTGACAGCTTTGCTCTTTCATCAATCCATGCTGATTCTTATAATATTATTTTCTATCAAAAATTCTTCAGTATCTTCCAGACTAAAGAGGTTAAACTAACCAGTCTGTAGTGCTTCCCCCATAAGGGCCACTGAGAATATGACAGGTTCTTTCCCAAATTAGCGCAGAGGTAGCCAGGCACACAACAGCAGTCCATTCACTCCAGCTGTTCCCCTGAAGTTTATTTGCTGGTAGAACTTGAAAACAGTGGAAGACAATGGAGCATGGGACATTCCAAAATGCTGGGCACTGTTAGCAGAGGACACCTCTCGCTCAGTAATAGCAGCGCAAGTAATAGATAGACTGGAACATTTTATGTATTCACAGCTGGGTATCGTGAAATAGGTATTGCCACGGGTAGAGGCAGACTGGAACAGTGTATATATTAGCTCAGGACCATGAGTAGTTTTAGCACAGATAGAGGACTGAAATAGTCTATATCTCTTCATGGTTGGGGACCATGAAGTAGGTTTTAGCACAGGTAGAAGCAGACTGGGACAGTTTATACATCTACGGCTGAGGACCATGAAGTAGGTCTTAGCACAGGTAGAGGCAGACTGACTGTAACGGTCTATATGTTTACGGCTGAGGACCATGAAGTAGGTTTTAGCATAGGTAGAGGTAGACTGGAAGAGTCTATATGTCAGGAATGGACTGGCCAGCAATAGTGGGACTCACCTGCCTTTTGAGCTGCAGTACCAGGGCTGGCCAGCGGGTGCTCCCAGCATTCAGAGACTCAACCTTGCAGCCAGTCAAACACCTGGAACTAATTATACTGGTGTATTTAAGGGACATTCAGACCTGCAGACTCTGCCTTGGTGTTGTGTTTTTCCTGGGCCCTGTATCTTGTTCCTGCATCCTGCTCATGCTCCTGTTCCTGTCTTGTTGCTGACCCGGCTTGATTCTGACCTCTGCTGACTTCTCCTGTTCTGATCCCTGGCTTGTGACCCCGACCATTCTCTGCCTGACCCCCTGTACCTACCTGCCTGTTAGTTGCTGTACCCTGCTCGTGACCTGACTATTCTCCGCTTGCTCCCCCTGTACCTACCTGCCCGATTGATATTGACCCGTCCTGCCTGACGACGCTTGCATTGTATGTACTGTTATCTGTGGGTGGTTTGGTTTGGTTCGTTTGCACTGTGTTATGTTTTAGTATTGCACTGCGTTTATGTTTGTATTGTTAGTGTTAATAAATTGTTTATAACTTATCTGAAGTCTGCGTTTCCCTGCGTCAGTCACACACCTCTGGTCATACCCGGGAGCCCTGACATTACACCAAGGCCAATCCTGACCAGAAGTGGCTGCACAGGGAAGCCATCTTGGTTTGTTGATGGGAAGGATGGATCTGGATGAGGTTGCGTATTTATATCTGCTAGTGTTTGATGACAGGGAGTATGCTTATCAAACTCTGAAGGAGTATACCCGGGATGAACTGCTAGAATGTATACGGCTCGCTCATGTTCTAGTAGATCAGGGCACAGAGTTCTCTGAGGTGCAGCCATTGATTGAGGTTTTTGCTGAGTTGGTTTCATCTGGTACCCCCGAATGCAGGGATGATTTTTTGCCACCATTTAGTGCAGACCAGGTAGAGTCCCTGGTATGGTTATTAGAGGATGATGTGGGTTACTTTCTGGAGCGTTATTCCACATGTTCACCACAGGTACTAAGAGATTGTATAAACGCAGTGCAGTCTTTGGTCAGACAGGCTTTGTGTAAGCTCAGCTTTGTTCAACCCATACTGCAGACATGGACAGATTTGTTACACCCAGCCTCAGTCAGCTTACAAAGACCCAGTCCCGCTTCTAATCTATCTCCTCAAAGCTCTACTCCTGTATTTCCAACAGCTCCTCCAGTTACAGCCCAGTATACTTGGCTATCTACCGCATGTCAGTACCCTGTTCCCACTCGCTGCACCTATCCTGCCTTTAACCCTGTAAAGAAGCCCTCTGTAGCGACTGTTCCTTCCCCTGTTCCATCCTCCAGCTCTTCTCTGTCTCCAGCTGCTCCATTCATTTGCAGACCTGCGTTTACTTGCAGTGCCCCAGTAGTTAAAACCAGAAAAAAGCGAAAATTCTTTCCAACCAGTACCATCCTGCCAGTATCCAAACCGGTGAGCCTACCGTCTGAGAACCTGCCTTCCGTGGTTCAGCCGGATGCCTCTCTTCAGCCTGATGCCTCTCTTCAGCCTGAAGCCTACTACTCAGCCTGAAGCCTCTACTCAGCCTGAAGCCTCTACTCAGCCGGATGCCTCTACTCAGCCGGATGCTTCTACCCAGCATAATGAACTGATCCAGCCTGATGATCCTATTAGGCCAGTTGACTCGATGCCCGCTGTTGATCCAGATGATCCGGTACCTGATCCGGTGCCCGCTGTCGTGCCAATTGACTCAGAGCCCGCTGTCGTACCTGGTGACTCGGTGCCCACTGCCTTGCCAGATGACGTGGTGCCCGCTGGCGAGCCAAATGACCTGATGCCTGGTGACCCAGTGCCCGCTGTCATACCTGGTGACCCGATGCCCGCTGTCGAGCCAGACGACTCGGTGCCCGCTGTTCCGCCAGTTGACTCGATGCCCGCTGTTCCGCCAGTTGACTCGATGCCCGCTGTTCCGCCAGACGACTCGGTGCCCGCAGTCTTGCCAGACGACTCGGTGCCCGCAGTCTTGCCAGGTGACTCAGTGCCCGCAGTCTTGCCAGACGACTCGGTGCCCGCAGTTCCGCCAGTTGACTCGATGCCCGCTGTTCCGCCAGTTGACTCGGTGCCCGCAGTCTTGCCAGACGACTCGGTGCCCGCAGTCTTGCCAGACGACTCGGTGCCCGCAGTCTTGCCAGACGACTCGGTGCCCGCAGTCGACTCGCCATGACGACTCGGTGCCCGCAGTTCCGCCAGTTGACTCGATGCTCGCTGTTCCGCCAGTTGACTCGGTGCCCGCAGTCTTGCCAGACGACTCGGTGCCCGCAGTCTTGCCAGACGACTCGGTGCCCGCAGTCTTGCCAGACGACTCGGTGCCCGCTGTTCCGCCAGACGACTCGGTGCCCGCAGTCTTGCCAGGCGACTCGGTGCCCGCAGTCTTGCCAGACGACTCGGTGCCCGCAGTCTTGCCAGAGGACTCGGTGCCCGCAGTCTTGCCAGACGACTCGGTGCCCGCAGTCCTGCCAGACGACTCGGTGCCCGCAGTCTTGCCAGACGACTCGAAGCCCGCTGCTCCGCCAGTTGGCTCGGTGCCCGCAGTCTTGCCAGTTGACTCGGAGCCCACTGTCGTGCCTGGTGACTCGGTGCCCGCCGCTCCGCCTGGGGGCCCGAGACCTGTCGCTCCGCCTGGGGGTCCGGCACCCGCCGCTCCGCCTGGGGGCCCGAGACCTGTCGCTCCGCCTGGGGGTCCGGCGCCCGCCGCTCCGCCTGGGGGCCGGGGGCCCGCCCGCCGCTCCGCCTGGGGGTCCGGGGCCCGTCGCTCCGCCTGGGGGCCCGGCGCCCGCCGCCCCGCCTGGGGGCCCGATGCCTGTCGCCCCGCCTGGGGGCCCGATGCCTGTCGCCCCGCCTGGGGGCCCGATGCCTGTCGCCCCTCCTGGGGGCCCGATGCCTGTCGCCCCGCCGGGGGGCCCGATGCCTGTCGCCCCGCCTGGGGGCCCGATGCCTGTCGCCCCTCCTGGGGGCCCGATGCCTGTCGCCCCTCCTGGGGGCCCGGCGCCCCGCTTGGGGGCCCGATGCCTGTCGCCCCGCCTGGGGGCCCGATGCCTGTCGCCCTGCCTGGGGGCCCGGTGCCTGCCGCTTCACCTGGTAATCTCCCGATGTCCCTCTGCCCGGAGTTCACCCGATGTGCCTCTGCCCGGAGTCCAGCCCGATGTGCCTCTGCCCGGAGTCCAGCCCGATGTGCCTCTGCCCGGAGTCCAGCCCGATGTGCCTCTGCCCGGAGTCCAGCCCGATGTGCCTCTGCCCGGAGTCCAGCCCGATGTGCCTCTGCCCGGTGTGCCCCTGCCTGGAGTCCTGCCCGGTGTGCCAGTCTTTGATATCCCGCCAGTTACCAGACCCGGGCGGTGGAAATTTTTGCCCAGCTAGGACTGTTTGGAGCATCCTGAGGCCGCTCCTTGAGGGGGGGGTACTGTCAGGAATGGACTGGCCAGCAATAGTGGGACTCACCTGCCTTTTGAGCTGCAGTACCAGGGCTGGCCAGCGGGTGCTCCCAGCAATCAGACACTCAACCTTGCAGCCAGTCAAACACCTGGAACTAATTATACTGGTGTATTTAAGGGACATTCAGACCTGCAGACTCTGCCTTGGTGTTGTGTTTTTCCTGGGCCCTGTATCTTGTTCCTGCATCCTGCTCCTGTTCCTGTTCCTGTCTTGTTGCTGACCCGGCTTGATTCTGACCTCTGCTGACTTCTCCTGTTCTGATCCCTGGCTTGTGACCCCGACCATTCTCTGCCTGACCCCCTGTACCTACCTGCCTGTTAGTTGCTGTACCCTGCTCGTGACCTGACTATTCTCCGCTTGCTCCCCCTGTACCTACCTGCCCGATTGATATTGACCCGGCCTGCCTGACGACGCTTGCACTGTATGTACTGTTATCTGTGGGTGGTTTGGTTTGGTTCGTTTGCACTGTGTTATGTTTTAGTATTGCACTGCGTTTATGTTTGTATTGTTAGTGTTAATAAATTGTTTATAACTTATCTGAAGTCTGCGTTTCCCTGTGTCAGTCACACACCTCTGGTCATACCCGGGAGCCCTGACACTATATCTATATGGCTGAGGACCATGAAGTAGGTTTTAGCTCAAGTAGAGGCAGACTGGCTGTAACAGTCTATATGTTCATGGCTGAGGACCATGAAGTAGGTTATAGCACAGATAGAGGTAGACTGGAATAGTCTAAATCATCATGGTTGGGGACCATGAAGTAGATTTTAGCTCAGGAAGAGGCAGACTGTAACGGTCTACATGCTCATGGCTGAGGACCATGAAGTAGGTTTTAGCACAGGTAGAGGTAGAATGGAAGAGTCTATATCTACATGGCTGTGGACCATGAAATAGGTTTTAGCACAAGTAGAGGCAGACTGGAACAGTCTATATGTTCAAAGCTGAGGACCATGAAGTAGGTTTAAGCACAGGTAGAGACAGCCTGGAATAGTCTATATGTTCATGGCTGAGAACCATGAAGTAGGTTTTAGCACAGGTAGAGACAGACTGACTGTAACAGTCTATATGTTCACAGCTGAGGACCATTGTAAGGGATTTCCGGCAAGAAGAATCATGATCAGGAACATGCATGCGTGAAAGAGATCCCGTGGAAGAATCGACGGTTGTGCGCAGGAGTGCAGGAATGCGCAATTGCGCACATGCACACACACGTGCACACTCACGGCGACGATTGGCACCAGACGGGCTATTTAAGCAGGGCCTCTGCTCAGGTTCAGTGCTGACTGGTCTTCAGCTCCCCCTCCGTGTCCTGCTTGTTCCTGTACGATTCCTTTGTTGCTGACCGGCTTGTTCCTGACTCAACTCTGATTACTCTCCTGCTCCTGGTTCCTGACTTCGGCTCTGCTCCTGACTTTGGCTTTTCCTTCTGATTCTGTACCGCGCTGCCCGATTTTTGATGACCCCGGTTATCCTATGACCCTGCTCCTGTCCTGTGTCCTGGCTACCTACCTTGCTCTGCTGCACATTGGGCACTACACAGAACCTGCTCTGTCTGCTATTACGGTGCTCAAATCAGAAGATACTCTAGCTACCAAGGTCACCACCTGCAAAAGCCGCAAGCAACAACCACTGGCGCTCTTGTCCCCCTGGTCCCTAGACTCCCTCTGTTCCAACCTCAGCGGGGTCGGGGCTAGTGACACAAGTGAGGCCGACCTCGTCAATTCAGTCTCCCATCAGGTACGTGACAACCATAAAGTAAGTTTTAGCATAGGTAGAGGTAGACTGGAATAGTCTATATCTTCATAGTTGGGGACCATGAAGTAGCTTTTAGCTCAGGTAGAGGCAGACTGTAATGGTCTATATGCTCACAGCTGACTGACTGTAACGGTCTATATGTTTACGGCTGAGGACCATGAAGTAGGTTTTAGCATAGGCAGAGGTAGACTGGAAGCGTCTATATCTACATGGCTGTGGACCATGAAGTAGGTTTTAGCACAAGTAGAGGTAGACTGGAAAAGTCTATATGTTCACAGCTGAGGACCATGAAGTAGGTTTTAGCATAGATAGAGGCAGACTGACTGTAACAGTCTATATGTTCATGGCTGAGGACCATGAAGTAGGTTTTAGCACTTTGTATCCCCTTGATAAAGTCACGTGACTAGTGAAAAAACGCATCAGAGAGGAGTGTGCAGATGACGTCACGACGTTACCATTCATCGGGATAGCGGCCTGTAGTACTCTACAAACCGCTCTTGAAACTGCATTAGAGTATAATGTGAGGTCACACTGCGTGAGGTGAGCAGATATATGGTGGAGGATGTATTTGCATGGGAATTGATGACAGATGCACATATTTTCGTTACCCAAAGGAGGGTTCACTGAATGAACACTTTATTGATTGAACTTGATTTTTGATTTTTTAATTTTATATATTTTTATTTTTTGTGTGGTTACTATATATATATATATATATATTTCCATTTCAATATTAATATATTTTTTCTACTACTATTTTTCTTCTAATAATTATTGATTTATTTTTTTCACTTTGTTTTTTGGTAATGGTTTGTACCATTGGTTTATGTAGCGCAGCATTTTTGCATTTCACTTTTAGGTTTTAGCACAGGTAGAGGAAGACTGGAACAGTCTATATGTTCATGGCCAGGGACCATGAAGTAGGTTTTAGCACAGGTGGAGGAAGACTGGAACAGTCTATATCAGCGGTTCTCAACCTGGGGGTCGCGACCCCTTTGGGGGTCGAATGACCATTTCCCAGGGGTCGCCTAAGACCATCGGAAAACACATATTTCCGATGGTCTTAGGAACCGAGACGCCGCTCCTGTCTCCGGCGATGTGTGGGCGGGATGATATACTGCCCCTGTCACCGCCTCCTCGCCGCTGATTGGCCACCGGAACTGTAGCTCAGGAGAGGCACACAGGCGGCCAATCACCGGCGAGAAGGTGGAGCTTGGAGAGGAGGAGCCGAGCGGCAGCAGCGCGCGGAGATCGAAGAAGATCGAGGGAGCTGCAGGAACGAGTGAAGAGAGAGGCCAGAGAAGGAAGACAGCTGACAGGTAAGTGCATGTTTTGCTGCTGCAGCCAGGTATGCAGGCTGTAGATGGGAGAGGAGAGAGAGCGAGCCCAGGCTGGAGCAGGAGTCAGCAAGGTAAGTATCATTGGTGTTAGTGGGAGGGATAGTGCCCCATCATTTGTGTCACTAATACCAACGATGGGGCACTATTCCTCCCCCCACTGACACCAACGATGGGGCACTATTCCTCCCCCCACTGACACCAACGATGGGGCACTATTCCTCCCCCCACTGACACCAACGATGGGGCACTATTCCTCCCCCCACTGACACCAACGATGGGGCACTATTCCTCCCCCCACTGACACCAACGATGGGGCACTATTCTTCCCCCCACTGACACCAACGATGGGACACTATTCCTCCCCCCACTGACACCAACGATGGGGCACTATTCCTCCCCCCACTGACACCCACAATGGGGCACTATTCCTCCCCCCACTGACACCCACAATGGGGCACTATTCCTCCCACTGACACCCACAATGGGGCACTATTCCTCCCACTGACGCCAATGATGGGGCACTATTCTTCCCACTGACACCAATGATGGGGCACTATTCCTCCCACTGATACCAATGATGGGGCACTATTCCTCCCACTGACACCAATGATGGGGCACTATTCCTCCCACTGACACCAGTGATGGGGCACTATTCCTCCCACTGACACCAGTGATGGGGCACTATTCCTCCCACTGACACCAATGATGGAGCACTATTCCTCCCACTGACACCAATGATGGAGCACTATTCCTCCCACTGACACCAATGATGGGGCACTATTCCTCCCACTGACACCAATGATGGGGCACTATTCCTCCCACTGATACTAATGATGGGGCACTATTCCTCCCACTGACACCAATGATGGGGCACTATTCCTCCCACTGACACCAATGATGGGGCACTATTCCTCCCACTGATACCAATGATGGGGCACTATTCCTCCCACTGACACCAATGATGGGGCACTATTCCTCCCACTGACACCAATGATGGGGCACTATTCCTCCCACTGACACCAATGATGGGGCACTATTCCTCCCACTGATGCCAATGATGGGGCACTATTCCTCCCACTGACGCCAATGATGGGGCACTATTCCTCCCACTGACACCAATGATGGGGCACTATTCCTCCCACTGACGCCAATGATGGGGCACTATTCCTCCCACTGACGCCAATGATGGGGCACTATTCCTCCCACTGACGCCAATGATGGGGCACTATTCCTCCCACTGACGGCAATGATGGGGCACTATTCCTCCCACTGACGCCAATGATGGGGCACTATTCCTCCCACTGACGCCAATGATGGGACACTATTCCTCCCACTGACGCCAATGATGGGACACTATTCCTCCCACTGACGCCAATGATGGGACACTATTCCTCCCACTGACGCCAATGATGGGACACTATTCCTCCCACTGACGCCAATGATGGGACACTATTCCTCCCACTGACGCCAATGATTGGGCACTATTCCGCCCACTGACGCCAATGATTGGGCACTATTCCTCCCACTGACGCCAATGATTGGGCACTATTCCTCCCACTGACGCCAATGATGGAACACTATTGCTCCCACTGACACCAATGATGGGACACTATTCCTCCCACTGACACCAATGATGGGACACTATTCCTCCCACTGATACCAATGATGGGACACTATTCCTCCCACTGACACCAATGATGGGGCACTATTCCTCCCACTGACACCAATGATGGGACACTATTCCTCCCACTGACACCAATGATGGGACACTATTCCTCCCACTGATACCAACGATGGGACACTATTCATCCCACTGACATCAGTGATGGGGCGCTAGTCCTCCCACTGCAAAATTACAGTTATGAAGTAGCAACGAAAATAATTTTATGGTTGGGGGTCACCACAACATGAGGAACTGTATTAAGGGGTCGCGGCATTAGAAAGGTTGAGAACCACTGGTCTATATGTTCATGGCCAGGGACCATGAAGCAGGTTTTAGCACAGGTAGAGGAAGACTCGAAGTCTACATGTTCATGGCCAGGGACCATGTGTAAAAGTCACGAACAAGGAAAGCAACCCCAACACCAGCTTTTGCCACAATAGAATTTTACTTAAATGTGGCAAATAAACACAACCACAAATGCTGGGAACATACAATAAATTTACATACACCCAGCCCAAAGGCTGAGACCCTTGTACTGCACAGCACGGCGCCTTCTGATGGATGAAGGTAGAAAGTGAAGTAATTTACCTACTGGCGGGCACAAATAAGCTGCCACACCTTACCTGTTATTACCCTAAAAGAGGAAGAATCAGTGTATGGTATGGGCTAGTCTGCGGTGCAGCACAACAGCTTACAATCTTACACAAATCTACAGTATTCCCCCTCCCATAACTGGTCCTGTAGCACGTGCCTGAGTATTCCTTCTGAGCAAAACGCCAGTCTGGCTTGAGTTTGTAGGATTTTATCAGCTCTTCAATGTGAAATGTCCCTTTAAGTTGTGGAGTCCTTCCAATGATCAGTAACAACACTTGTGGCCTGACACAAACAGAGACCCTAACTAACTAACTATAGGCCTGGACTCAGTCTCAAGGCGCCAACACTGAAATGAGATGCGTGCACGATCTTACCGTCCCGGGTCTGCTTTTCATCCGCTGGTGCCTCTGAACAGAACAAATGTCTCTCCAAGCATGCGGTCTTGCCGTATATGTTGCTTAGTTCCTTTGCTCTCATCAGCATTCCTGGCAGCAATCTCATCAGCTTCACTTAGCTGCAGCTCTGGTTACGGAGGGATGCTTTCACACCTGGATGTCATCAGATTCTAGCTCACAGGGCCCCTTATTCACCATGCTCCAAAAACATGGCTGCTCTCTCTCTCTCTGTGAAAAACTCCACCTCTTCATGAATATAGAAATATCTATGCAGTCAGAGGCTGTGTTAGGAAAACAGTGGCATCTTGTGGCTAAACTGCAGAATGTCAGTCAAAACATTTAATTTACTCCACACAAGCAGAATTCAAACAATGAGAGCTGTTTCCCCATCTCACTCATGAAGTAGGTTTTAGCACAGGTGGAGGAAGACTGGAACAGTCTACATGTTCATGGCCAGGGACCATGAAGCAGGTGCAGTCTCTTGTAAAGTAGTCCAGAGGGCTCCAAGGGCAAGACCCCCCCCCCCCCATTTCAGCTCACAAAAAATGCAGCATGTTCTACTTTTCTCTCTGGAACTAGAACGCACTAGAAATGACCGTACTGGTGTGAACTATGCCATTGAAAGCCATGTAACCTACTAGCAATGCGGTTTTGATGCAGAAAAAAAATGCACTGGATTGCGTGTCGTGTGAACTGGCCCTTTATGTTCACTGAATTCTTTTGCAACCCCAGCTATTACCTTGTAAAATTAGCGGTGACATCATCACTATACTGTACATAGCTTGGGCAAACAGCAGAGCTATGGGAGGGACCCACTCAGTGGCGGACTGACAACTCATGGGGCCCCTGGGCAATAGGGGATCATGGGGCCCCTGTGTCCTTGCCCAAACTCAAAAAAGCCTATGAAAAAGGTACCAGGGGCATCTCATGGGGCCCCCTACTGACCCCGGGCCCTTGGGCAGTGCCTGAGTTTCCAAATGGTAAGTGCAGACCTGGACCCACTACAGGCTGCCTGCTGAAAAAACATGACTTATAATTTAAACATGTATTTATCCTGCAAATCAGTGTTCAAGCCAGAGGCAGCCAGGCACCTAGCATCTTCAGACAATGACATGCGCAGTGGCAGACTGACCATTTGGAAACTCGGGCACTACCTGGGGGCACGGGGTCAGTAGGGGGCCCCATGAGATGCCCCTGGTACCTTTTTCATAGGCTTTTTTGAGTTTGTGCAAGGACACAGGGGCCCCATGATCCCCTATTGCCGGGGGCCCCATGAGTTGTCAGTTCGCCCCTGGACATGAGTTTGGCAGGAGACGGTTATCAATAAATTCAGGAGTACTCAGCTGCGGGACACTGACAGACAACGTGCTATTATCAGCTCCGATTGCCGATCACCAACTGTCACTTTATTAATGAGTAAACCACGATGCGTTTCCATAGAGACCGCCCCCCTCCTCCCGGAAGGCGTGACCTGCCCGCCGCTCATTGGCTGCGAGCTATTTTCTTCCAAGTTTGAGCGGTTATGGCCCCGCCCCACGGAAGCGGAAGTAGTCCTGGTTGGTGAGGGATCCAGTGAGGAGCTGAGAGGATGGTGTCCTGGATGATCTCCCGGGCTGTGGTGTGAGTATCGATCCCTCTGTACACAGGAGGAGGGACTACAAGGCCCAGCATCCACTCCTCCTCCCCCCTGTGTTTGAGCTGAGACTTGTATTTCCTCTACACTCCGAGAACAATGAGGGGAAGGAGCCCTGTGTGTGTCCATGACCCTGTGTGTGTCCATGACCCTCCCCGAGGGATGTGTGTCCATGACCCTCCGAGGGATGTGTGTCCTCCTACAGCTGCTTCATTGTATGTCTGTATAAAGAGGACCTGTCATGGCAGTGAGCCTCAGCGTTCCCCAGTCAGCCCTGTATTCCCCTGGAGTGAAGGAGAGCCAGGTTTTGTGGCTGGGCTGATCCCTGTGTCTGTATGAAATGAGAAATGTGCTGCCTGACCTGTCACATGCTTTGTGCTGATATGTATGCAGCACATGCAGATTTTTGCATGTTGTTTAGGTACATCCCAATAAACTGCACCAAGGAAGTGCAAGCATCCCTTTTTTTTTTTTTTTCTGTACCAGAACAGATGATTACTGTTCTGTGCATTTTGGCGCTGGTTAAGATTAATGGTGCTGCTGGGCGTCTGCGGAAGAATTGCACTTTGTGTTCATTGTAGGAACACGTATGATTTTGTAAATGCTCCCGCATTGCACAAATCTCAACTTGGCCTGTACACGTCTATAAGGCTGGTGGGATCAGTGAGATTTCGGGGGGGGGGTTGCATTTCCTACAAATTTGCTTGTGAATGCAGGTTAGGAGGAGCCTAGAAGCTCCTGACAGTTCAGAATGATATTATTATTATTATTATACAGGATTTATATAGTGCCAACAGTTTTTGCAGTGATTTACAATATAAAAGGAGACAGTACAGATACAATACAAAAAGAGGGTTAAGAGGGCCCTGCTCATAAAAGCTTACAATCTAATAGGGTGGGGCAAGTGGTCCAAAGGTTATACCTGTGGGGGATGAGCTGATGGAAGTGATAAGTGTTTAACTGGATGTGTGGTAGGCTTCCCTGAAGGGATACATTTTCAGGGATCTCCTAAAGGCAGCCAGAGTAGGGGATAGCCCAACAGATTGAGGTAGAGAGTTCCAGAGGATATCTGAAGCATCACAGACTGATGTCATTGATGCAAGCCCAAAGCCCCTGGACATTTATTTATTTCAGGTACTTATATAGTGCTGTCGATTTACGCAGTGCTTTACATATATATTGTACATTCACATCAGTCCCTAACCCTCAAGGGGTGTACAATCTGAAGTCCCTAACTCTCGCATTCATACATATAAATAAATACATACTAGGGCCAATTTAGACAGGAGCCAATTAACCTACCAGCATGTCTTTGGAGTGTGGGAGGAAAGCAGAGTACCCGGAGGAAACCCACGCAGTCACAGGGAGAACATGCTAACTCCAGGCAGGTGGTGCCGGAGTTGGGATTTGAACCAGCGACCCTAGTACTGCCAGGCGGAAGTGCTAACCATTTAGCCACTGTGCTGCCCACATTGGTCCTTCCTGTGTCTGAGATGGTCTCTAGGCCCTGGGAGTCACAGGTAACCTGAAGTCTGACAGTTGTTTTGCCAACTGCCACTCCTACAGATGATAACAAAGTCTTCTCAGGACCAGTGATGAGCTTGGGGTGTTTGGGCTAGTGTTTATGAGCCTACAAGGGAGCTGTAATGTGTACAGGCCAATCATATGAGGCTGAGGCATTTTCTATTATATTCGTGCAGGAATGGGGGGGGGAGAGGTGAGCGATGCTCTAGCTGCAGATGATTTACCCATACAGGTGACAGCCTCCTGGTGGGCTCATACATGAGTCAAGATCCTAGTCCAAGCTCATCCCTACTCAGGACCATGTCACTGGAACCATCCTATAGCTGGGGGGAGTGGTGGGTAAAAGATCATTAAGGCCTCAATCACTTGGGCTTCCCCCTTTTTTTTTTTTTTTCCTTTTTTTTTTATACTCATAGGAGACATTGATCTGTCGAGTATATTTGTTTTTGGTTAATATGGAAAATGTACATGTGTTTATTGCACCTTTAGGTCCAGTTCACACATAGTGCAGTAAAAAATGATATATATACGTGCGCACATCTGAAGAAGAGCTGCTAGCACCAAAAAAGTGAAACCCCAACCTTGTGAATAATACAGCAAAAAAAATGGTGTGATTCGGGCGTCCCAATCCCTGGTCCCCATTCCAAAGTCCTAAATGGAAAGGAGCTCATGCCACAGAGCCCAGACAAAAGCACATAGTGTAGTATATTTTATTAAAAGCTCAGTTAAACGAGGCTAAAAACAACCACATGGATGCATCAAACAAAACAATCTGTCTGGACCTAGAGATGGCCACTGTTCCGATTACCAGATCCGGCGGCGTGACGTCAGCACGTAAGCCCTCTTGCTCCGGAGGGTATTTTTGCTACACATAGTGCAGTGACTGGCAGTTTTTCTGCACTGGAAGAACGCCACTCACTGCTAGAGCACATAGAAAACAGTTGTCTTCTACGTGCCCCATTTGCACTGCAGCAAAGCCCAGAGATGCGATGCAGTGACGCACAGTAAAGTGCAGACATGCTGCATTTTATCACTACATACAGGAAGGAACTGCATGTCCTCACACAGCACAATGCACCATGCTGCTGTACAGCAACATGAATGAAGTGCACTTAAAATAAAACTGACAAAGAAAAAATTGTACCATGTGATGTATTGAAACATGCGTCACACACCATCCCCCCTCACCGCAGATCATTGCAGCCGAATCAGACAGCTGTCCACACACTAAACCACTCTATTTTAGTCTGTGACTGGGCCCTTAATTGCATTTACACATATTTAGAGTATCAAATTCACCGGTGTCCTGCCAGTGGCCCTTGCCACTTACTATGTGGCCCTCAGGGCCCATGAATCCTAGGAGCTTACTCAGACCAGTGAAGGAAAATATTCTCTAGGGCTCATTCATATGTGTGACAGCCCTTATGCCCCTTTAAAAAGTAATCCACAGTGGATAACTTTCAGGGATACATGCTTGTTTTAACTCTGAAAATGCTGACCCGCTGCACCGCAACATGCTTTGCATGTGGTTGTGGCACTGTCAAATTCACTAGACTGGGTCACATGCGGCGGTACTGCTTGGCAAATGCGACATGCCATTTAATTTTTGCCACAAAGCTCTGCGGCATGAGTACAGCATTAGTGGCTACAAGTTGTTGAAGTGAGCTGCAGTTTTACTGCCCTCTGATCGCCAAACTGCCTGGATTTACCACCCTCTGGCCCACCATATGATCGAGCCAGACTGGCTTCTAGTACCTAAATGGTTTAGTTTATTTCTTTCACATGATCTTATTCTTTTCTGTGCTGTCCATTCCTTTCTTTTTTTTTAAACTCTGACCTTCTGTAATGTATCTTGCTAAAGAAATATCCAATGTGGCACCAGTAAATGTAAGAGGGTAGTGGGATGTAGGGAGAGCAGACGTGTAAACAATAACTTGTAAAGGGACAGTAATAGTGGGGCAGTCTTGTGTAACGTGTCTCCTGAAGCATGTTCCCAGTCTGTGATCATCTCCTGCAGAATGTTCAGTCACTTGTAGCATGCCGATAGTGTCTGATCATCTCCTGTTGCATGCTTGCTTTCTGTGACATTACATTCCCTGAATATGTGCTGTTCTTTGGTATCGTCTGAGTTCCCCTGCATAAGCTGATCATACGGCTCTAATCTGCCCTTGTACACACAGATTTCTATTTGTTTTCAAACAGTTAAACTGAGTGCACAGTGTACATTATAGCATTTAGAATTATTACATGCATTTACGTATATTTTGAAATGTCATAAACACATATAAATGTATGTAATTGCATGTGTGTTACTGTTGTGATTCAGGTCTTTGAGAGCAGCCGGGACATTCACTTTCTAATCTCTCATCAATCCTTTGATGGCATATATCCAACTCCCCCCCCCCCCCCCCCCCCCCCACTGCCAGGTTTGATCAGCCAACCACTGCGTTTGAATATTTTCATGTGGTGGCGCATGCACAGCTCTCAGTTTGTTTAGAAAAAAGCATCCTTACAGGAATCTTCAGAGGTCTGGCAGCACAGTAAGGCATGGGGGATTGTGTGATTGCTCACTACTGGCTGTCTGTTTCCTTCTGTAAAATCAAGTTGTTACTTTGTCTCAGTGCAGGTTCACTTTAACAATTGTAAACACCTTGTGGGCTTCATGTTTGATACTTTTCTGATTACTCTTATGAAGAACTGTAAAACTGCTTTGGTTGCCATGAGACCAGGCTATATCTGTTGGACATCAAGGGCGGCTTTTGGCTCCAAAAGTCATCCTTGGGACAGGCTAAAGTAAAATCTTTCATAGGTAAAACGAAAGAATTGTAAGAAGTTAAAGTAATCTCACACTCTTGGGTTTTCACAGTCCGATAGTAAAGCTGCTGCATCCAGTCAGTGCTGCTTCCCTGAAATTCTTGTTGGGGGAGCATACATTGACCATGTCACACGAGACTGATCATGAAAGACAGTGTAGTCTTGACCTGCGGTCAATTAGCTTAGAGGCGGTTGGAGCAGGAGCATGGCTTGCTGTCCCTGGGCTTTGGGGCTGTGTGTTTTGTGTTGCCATACACAAAGTAGGGGACCGTCAGCCAGGAGCGCACACAAAGGTGGCTCCATAGTACCCTTCAGGGCAATGGAGCCATTCTAAAACAGGAAACTTGCTTTGGTGAGCTCAATTAGGAAGATTTCAAATAAGATCAAGCAGTAGACAAGGTATGTGCTTATGGCAGCTGCTATAATATGTATCCCCTTTTCCACTTCCCTTTAACTGATCACTTTTAGTTCAAGAAAAAAAAAAGAAGCTGTCCCAAGTCTTCTCTTCTGTTTACTTCCTGAAGGGATATTTCCTCAGGTGTCCACATGGCTGTCTGTGAGGTCACTACCTATTGGGTGGCAGCAGGGTTCTTTTTTGGGGAGAGAAAAGGACAACGTCCTCACAGGAAGGGGTGGCATGGGACTGGTGGTCTAAAGGGGCTTTTGTGGCACTAGATCAGCAGACCCCCACACTGGAACAGGCATCAGTGAGGGACTTGCATATCTGCCTTCACCAGGTAAGGGGAGTATAAGACTATCAGCGTGGGTCAGAGAGTAGTAGGAGGAAGGCAGGGTGAAAAAATAGTTTTTGCCAGGAGTAGGGTTTAAAAATAAATAAAATTGGTTTAGTAGCACTTTATATTTTCCACTATGTGGAATGGTTAAAATCCCTTTTTTCCTGTCTGTGTAATATTGGGGAGATGTTCCTCAAGGACAACAGGTAGTGAGTGAGGATCGCACCAAAGTATGGAAAGTGCTGTTTTAGAAATGTCACTGGACCAAGTGTTCCCATTGGAAAATGCTTCCCTTACTTCTGACCCAACTCAATATTTGAGATAACCCCTTGTTTCAGTCACAATTATTGCCAGGACAATTAGAGAGGACATGTCGCTACATACTTCTCTACTTTATCTAAAGCTTAAAGCGGAGTTCCACCCATTTTTATTTTTTCATTTTTTTTTCAGTTTGGCCATGTATTTTTCATGTACTGCTTCCTGCTATGTCATCAATGTTTGGAACTTTTTTTCTTTTTTTTCTTTTCAGTTTAAATACCTTTAAGCTTCCTGAAGCGCCGCATTCCATAAAACTTTGCCGCAGTGAGGTATGTCATATCCTCCTGCTCATTGGTTCCTGGAATATAGGTGGGATGCTGGCTTCCTTGCGAGTTGCTGCATTGACTGACAAGTTGCCATAATGACGTGGCAGAAACGTCTACCGATGCCGCCTTTGCTATGGCAATCTTCAATACACAGAGTGCACCACACTTTCTTCACACTGTATGGGTGTGAGATTGGGAGGTGCACGCTGGGTAACCAGCTGCACTGTTTCCCTGAAGAAAGTCCAGTCGGGCTTCAGATGCCCACAGTGAAGATGGAAGCTTGCAGGATGGTGGGGGCCAGTGAGTAACTTTGGAAATACAAGGAACACAAACGATTACATATACAGCTTATGCCAATTTGCATGGCGTAAGCTACAACTGTCACTAGGGTGCTTTTCAAAGGCAAAGAAAAATGACTGGGGCTCCGCTTTAAAAGAAGTTGGCTTATGATACACTTTTAATGTTGTCTTGCAATAACTTTTTAAATAATTGACCCTACAGAAGCTGATCTTAAGTGCCACACAGATTTGTCCGAATGTGTGGCAACTCGGTTAAACAGAAAACGTGCGCTTCATTGAGTTTCCTGACTGTCACATTGACTGGTGATCTCAATCTGCCCCAGTGCCATGTCATTTTGAGGAGGAGCATTGAGAGTGCAGAATCTCTCACCTGGGCCCACTGCCATAAGGCTATGCTGCAATGGCACAATGCTGGAGTTGCGGATCATGGATGAATAAGTGGGGGGGGGGGGGGGGAAAGGTGGAAGACAGTGGGTTGATTCTCCATTGTACCATACTACAGATAATTCCATGTAGCACCAAACTACACACATTATCAGGCCCTGAAAAAATAAATCATATTTCAATCCTTGGGCAGACCTGTCTCCGTGTATTTACTCATGTAAAAAAAATTGAAACTAATAATCACTTATTGAGCCTATTAACAAGAGAGACAGAGTAATTGTACTTAACTAGCATGTTACTCATCAGATGTAACGTGTACAAGCAGCATGAGTCAGTCACCACTGGATTAACCTGAGGAGGAGCTGTGCTGCATGTGTTTGTATATGATGTATGAAGGTCTGATGTAATAACATGGTGAGAGAACTGTGATTTAACCAAAGATGATATTTTAGATTCTTAATGGATGCCAAAAAAAAATACACCAGATACTCGGATACTGCACAAACCAGGCTTTCTCACATATGCTGAGATAAATTTAGTCTAAAATAGAAATGAAATGAAAAAACATTTGTGTATACATATAAAACATTATAAATGCTTTTCCCTTTTTTTACTTTTTTATTATTAATATATATAATTATTCCCCCCCCCCCCCCCCACATACCCTCTGCTCTCAGCTGCACCAAGGGCTCAGAGAGCTAGGGGAGGAGATTCAGCTCACTGGTGTTCCCAGTGAATGGGGAGGAAGAGGGGGGGGGGTGTTCGCAGAAGCCTCATTGTAGTAGTGCAGGATGAATTCTCAGGACAGCAGAAAACTGACCACGCTTTGCTTTCATGCCTAGTGTTGTCAGTTTTTAATGGGAAAGTAGTAGAGGGACTGGCAGGAACACCAGGGATTTCACACAAAGGAAGCAATACAAAGAGAACAGGATAGTTTTCATACAAGTACATAGTGCAGCAAGCACATATAAGTAATATGAAATGTTGGGTTTACATATTCTTTAACAAAGTAGAATATCTAGTAGAAGTGGTTCAAGTGTATATAAAGCCAAAACTTTTTTTTTTTTCTCAATAGGGCGGGGAAGGGTTAGAACCCCTGACATGTATTTTTTTGTTTAGTTGTTTGGTTTTTCCTTTTTTTTTTTTTTTTTTCTGTCTGTGTCCAGTCAGGAAACTTTCCCTTCCTGCCCCAACAACACAAGTGGTAAGAGGACAACATGCTACAGCAAGGATACATTTGAACATTTTGTTACCAGAACAAGAGTCCCTATTGGAAGATTTCCGTCATATCCTGTTCTTGTGATGACTCTAAGGCCCCTTGCACATGTGTGTCTAGCTGCTGTGTTTGCAATCCTGGTGTTTTAGTGCGTCTTGGAGGCAGATGCAACATCCACCCCTGCTGCCCACTGTGCCAAGTGGTACACGCGTTTAGGGCCCTATACATTCAGGGACGAATGGGTGGAATGCAAAATACCTGTATTCAGAGGCTTTATTCTGCGGTCGTATGACATCACAGCTTTCTTTAGTGTGTGTGTTTTCTGTTGGCAGCTGCTGTCCATCAAAACAGTAGGTCTATGTGGGGGGCCTGACTTAACTTTGCAAACTCAAACACACAGTGGGGGAGATCTGCTAAAACTGGTACAGCTGTGCATAGTAACCAATCGGCTTCTAACTTCAGCTTGTACAATAAAACCTGGAAGCTGATTGGTTACTCTGTACAGCTGTACCAGATTCTGTGTGCATCAGGTTTAGTAATTCTCCTCCTCCTCCTGTGTCGGCAAGGCATCCTGTACCTTTAAACAGCAAATACAAGGACCCAACTGAACAAACTATGCAAGGCATGAAAGCAGGTATGTGCTAGTTTGTTTGCCACTAGGAAGAACAGGGGCTGAGAGAATCATCCTGGTATTTATCATGAATGGAGTAAGTAAAAAAAAAAAAAAAAAAAAGATTACCATGAGGGATGCACAGATTTAAAAAAAAAAATAAAAATTTGGGGTAACACACACTGCTGTTGATGGTAATGCTTCGTTCACACAGGGCGTACTATACCATACGCCAGTGCAGGGCTGTGTTTACCTGCATGGGATTGCACAGATGTTCCGTGCATCCCCGTGCAGGTGGTCCCATTGATGTCTGTTGACAGCCGCTGTGTCCCAATATGATGTCTGTGTGGGTTGCGGGTGTCACAGGGTGAGTTTGAGGACATGGACCCACACACCCCCGCACCTACATGGATGCCCTATGAGAAACAGCCGCTGTGTCCCAATTGACATTAATGGGACTGCCTGCACGGGGATGCACAGAACACCTGTGCAACCCCATGCAGGTAAATGCAGCCCTACACGGGCATACGGTATAGTACTCCCTGTGTGAATGAGTAAAATTTGCTAATTCTGCCCAGCCTCAGTGATGTCATTCACAGACAGCGAGCGATCAGTTTGTGTCTACAGTTGTTAGACTCTTTATTGCCTGCAGTATGTCTATCTGACACAATGGGAATGCTCAGATTGCTCAGTAAAAACAGGAACTTAATCTAAGTGCAGCAATTACTATACTGCCCAGGTCATTCATCCTACAGGGATTTTTCTTACTTGATTAATATGATGTCCATGAATTGTTTTATTGGTATACAAGCAACACAAGAGGGAGGCTTTGGTTTACTGTGAGTCATGCTTTACCTGGCTTGTCTTTGGTAACTTGAGCTGCCCTGAATATGGGATATAGGAGTGGTAAACAAAAGTATGCTGGAGTGATTTTATAGAAGTTAGTATCAAAGCAGCAGGCTTTAGTCAGATGATACTGGTAAATGTCCCATGATCCTTTGTATACAGAACAGCAGATATGGATGTTTCTTAAAGCCATATTCTTCAGTTTGGTTTGGGGTCACCACCAGGTAATTCCCTTTTGGTGTACATGTACAGTCACAACACTGTTTGTTTTTACTGGCATCATCTAACTCCGCTGTTTTGTATATGTGTATTGAAGGGAGTGTATTATGTATGTACCTTGTGTGTGTTTTGATTGGTGCAGAATACAGTAAAAGCATAATAAACCTGGCTGCACCCACCTGTACAAGGCCAGAGTGGTGTGTATTCACTTTATATTTTTTTGTAAAGATTACATTCTACTGTCTGTTCCTAAATTTTAATTTTTTTTTTTTTTTTTTACAGCCTTATATTTGGTTTGTTATACCCAGCATATTCATCATACAAAGCTGTCAAAACCAAGAATGTTCGAGAATATGTGAGTATTTCTCACCCTATAAAGACCAAATGGAAGCTACGGTACTCAACCTTGTGATGATAGGTGCTTTAAGTGCATGCCACGTATGGTACCGGGCCAGAACCAAATGCAGTGTGACGTCACCAGCACTCTAAAAAAATAGATGCATTTAACATGTTCAACAACACTATCATCAGTCCCACCCCTCATGCCAAGGTGCTATGTGTAATCCTAGACTCCAATCTGTCCTTTCAGCCCCAGGTCCAATCGCTGACAAACTCGTGTAGACTTCACCTCCGCAACATCTCCAAGATACGACCGTTCCTAACCTCAGAAACCACTAAACAACTCATTCACTCCCTTATTATATCACGCCTTGACTACTGTAACTCCCTCCTCACTGGCCTACCTTCTCGCACGATATCCCCACTTCAGTCTATCATGAATGCTGGTGCCAGACTCACACACTTTACTAACTGTTCTGTATCTGCCACCCCTCTCTGCCAATCCCTCCACTGGCTTCCAATTGCTCAACGGATAAAATTCAAAACACTAACACTGACTTATAAAGCCGTTCATAACACTGCCCCTAATTACATCACCGATCATGTCTCTAAATACCACCCAAACCGTACTCTCCGCTCCTCGCAAGACCTCCTACTCTCTAGCTCCCTTGTCTCCTCCTCCAGTGCTCGTCTCCAGGACTTCTCCAGAGCCTCCCCCATCCTCTGGAACTCCCTACCCCAATCTATCAGACTATCGCCTACTCTGCTCACTTTTAGGCGCACTCTGAAAACCTATCTCTTCAGGGAAGCCTACCCCGCCCTCAGCTAATACTGGAATACTCTACTCTTCCAACCACTCCATCCCCCACAACTATTACCTTTTGTACCACTATCCCCTCCCTCCTAGATTGTAAGCTCCAAGGAGCAGGGCCCTCAAATCCCTCTTGTATTGAACTGTATTGTGACTGTACTGTCTCCCTCCATAATGTAAAGCGCTGAGCAAACTGTCGGCGCTATATAAGTCCTGTATAATAATAAAATAATAATGTTCATTATGAGTACAGCATCACATAAGGATTTTACTTTTTTTTTTTTTTTTTCTGCCCCAAAATGCCCCTCTCTGTTAGCCTATGTGCTCATGTACACATAGGTGTTTACAGGCATTTAGGAGCAGAAATCTGAGCACGCCAAAATCACATTCAGGAAAAGTGTTTGCCAGAAAAAATACCCAATGTGTGTAAACATGCCAGAATAAATTTCTATTCTGGCCAGTGAAATGAATGAGCAACCAAATGTTTGATGTGTCTAAACACATTTGAAAACTGCATCTTTGGGCTACTTTTTAACTCTGCTTTTCTTCTGCCTTTGTTCAGAAGACATAAAAAAACACTCGTGTGATATGATCTTCACAATAAACATGTGCAGTGTATGTTTGTGAAGTGCTGGTAACTTTGCATCTTAGTAACTTCTCACACGACTGACATTAATTTCTTTCTGGGTGACCTACAACTAAGAATAATAAAAGCAAATCTAAACCCAAGAACAAAAATGTGGTAGTTGCAATTTTTTTTTTTTTTTTTTCAGGCTTTATTTTGACTTTTTTATCCTGCCAGTAACCCTTCCTGTCCTAACATTCGCTCACTGTACTTTATCTATGGCAGTGCAGTGTTGTCACCCTAGGACAGGAAGTATTCTCCACCTAGCTTAGGTGGAGGTGTTTTGTAGTCCACAAAGAGAACTGGGCGCAATGATAACTGCATTAAAGGCAAATAACACAGGAAGCAGTCATTTACAAGATTTTTTTTTTTTAGGATTAACAGGTATTTTATTGCACTTCTCAAATGGATATAACAAAACTCCTGCAGTAATATATTTTACAGCCCCAAAGGAAGTCCTTATTAGAAGAATGTTTGGGATTTACATACTTTTATTTTTTAATTCCATTTTATTGTGAGAATGCAATTAACAAGAACAATGGCTGCAACATTTGGCAGACACATTTCATCAAGAAAGACCAATATATATTATCTTAGTATACAGTTGCAAGAAAAAGTATATGAACCCCTTGGGATTACGTGGAGTTTTGCATGAATTGGGCATAAAATGTACTCTGAATGTCATCTAATTCACAACAATAGAAGAACACAGTCTGCTGAACATAAATACTACACAAACATTAGATGTTGCCATGGTTTAATTGCACATAACATGTAAACATTCACTGTTGCATCACCCATCCTCTGCGGAGCTTCAGTTGGTGGACAGATGGTCGTACGTTTTCCTGCAAAATGTCTTGATAAACTCTGGAATTCATTTTCCCATCAATGACAACAATCCGTCCAGCCCTGAGGCAGCAAAGCAGCCCCAAAACATGATGCTCCCTCCGCCATGTTTTACAGTGGGGATGAGGTTTTGATGTTGGTGTGCTGTGCCTTTTTTTTTTCTCCACACATAGTGTTGTGTATTCTTCCCAAACAACTCAATCTTGGTGTCATCTGTCCACAGTATATTTTGCCAGTAGTGCTGTGGAACATCCAGGTGCTCTTTTTCAAACTTCAAACGTGCTGCAATATTCTTTTTGGACAGCAATTGCTTCCTCCGTGGTGTCCTCCCATGTACTCCATTCTTGTTTAATGTTTTCTTTATTGTAGATGTGTCAACAAAAATGTTAGCATGTGCCAGAGATTTCTGTAGGTCTTTAGCTGACACTCTGGGATTCTTCTGTACCTCATGCAGCATTCTGCGCTGTGCTCTTGCAGTCATTTTTACAGGACGACCATGCCTAGGGAGAGTAGCAACAGTGCTAAACTTTCTCCATTTGTAGACAGTCTGTCTTACCGTGGACACATGAACATCAAGGCTTTTGGAGATACTTTTGTAACCCTTTCCAGCTTCATGCAAGTCAACAATTCTTGATCGTAGGTCTTCTGAGAGCTCTTTTCTGCAAGGCGTGCTTCTTGAAACCAGTAAACCCAAAACAGGTGTGTGTTTTGGTTTTTTTTTTTTTTGGTTTTTTTTTTTAAGGGCAGGACAGCTGTCAGCAACACATCCAATATCATCACACTGATTGGAGTCAAGGTTGGCTCACTCCTGGCTCCAATTAGCTCTGGGAGAAGTCATTAAGCTAGGGCCTCACATACTTTTTCCTCCCTGCACTGTGAATGTTTACATGTTATGTGCAATTAAACCATGGCAACATCTAATGTTTGTGTAGTATTATGTTCAGTAGACTGTGTTCTTCTATTGTTGTGACTTAGATGACATTCAGAGCACATTTTATGCCCAATTCATGCAAAACTCCACGTAATCCCAATGGGTTCACATACTTTTTCTTGCAACTGTAATTTGAGAGAGACCTAGCAGTGCTGGGTCTAGTGGTATACATTAAGAAATATTTGAATGGATGGCAGTTGAACTAGTAAGTAGAAAGCGAAGGGAAGAGGGGAAGGTCTCAATTTTTTAGATTAACATATGTAATTGAATTTAAGAGAGGTGTGGAATGTCAATTGGAGGATCATTGGCTAGAAGCCTGAATAGATACCATTGAGTGTTGAAAGCATTGCATTATAGATAGTTGCGTTTCAACGGGCAAGGTTTGGATGAAAGATTCCCAAATGTTGAAGAAATTTTGAACCTGTAATTCCTTATGCAGGGAGGCTTCCACCTATTCCAGTGTGAACAACGAAGGCTAATTTAGCTGTAAAGGTTGTTCTGGGTAGATCCACTTGTGTAGAATAGTCTTCCATGCCACAAGGGATATGATGGTAAACAGTTGCTTGAGCCCTTTGAGATTTTAATGCCCAGGAAAATAATTAGGCCAAAAAGCGCCCATTCGAGCAAGTAGTTTACAAGATGTGTAGCATAATGGAGTAGGGGTTTAGCTGTAGGCCACCTGTGTATGAATTTACACTTGCCTTTTCTTAAGGTTAAGATTAAATGCTGTGAGGTTCCTCTGGAAGTGTGCCCCCTTGCCCTGCTTGTGCTAATACTTTTCTGACCTTGTGTTAGCTCTTCACACTTCTGTGTAGAATTCTCTGACAAAAAGACTGGAAGCAGGGTGCGCAGGGAAGGGAACATATCATTGTAGCAATTTTATGGTGTTGGGGTCCTTACATTGGAAATTTAAAGGTAGGCATGATAGTACAGGATAGCCCTGTCTCCAGAATTAATAGGCTTGGGTGGAGGTCTTTCATATACTTTTATTTGTGCTTTAGTATTGTAGCCCTTCATTAGGAGTGGTGTTATATGCTCCTTGCATGCTATAATGTATAGCTTGTTAAACGATTAACAGTGTGCAATCCCTAAAAGCTCTTAAACACCAGACAATGTAGGATAGTTATGTTCAATTACATGTTCTGCTCTTACAAAAGCCTGTACTGTAGTCATATGGATGAGGAGCAACAATTCCAAAAATGTGCCATGCTATGTCTTCTAATGTCACTCAAGTTACTTTTAACAACCAATCAGTTGCTATTATTCAGTACTTATGCACTGTTCTCAGGATGTCGATCTTGGTATGTAACTTAATTGCTAAAGCCATGTTGCAACTACAGCTGTAGGACCTTGTCTATCAGTAATGTTTCTTTACACCATTCCACGTTTAGTATATTTATGCACATATATGTACGGCTAATATAGATATCTACGTTGGTGTATATTTAGTGGTAATTTTTTATTTCAGGTACGCTGGATGATGTACTGGATTGTGTTTGCACTCTTTATGACAGTAGAAACGTTTACGGATGTTTTCGTTTCATGGTAAGATAACCGTCCCCACACCCCTACCGCCCAGATGTAGAAACCTCTCACATTTACGTTCTCCAAAAAGCCTGGCAATATCAACTGCCATCCTCACAGCAGTATCATCTGTTATCCTCTCAATAACTGTTACAAAAGGTGGACATGCAGTAACTGATGGTCCTACAGTGAATGACTTCTACCACTTACTGAACCTGTCAGCTATCTTACACTCTTATAGTCCCTCTGAACTGAACAGCATGCTTTCTATTATCTTTTTAAACAAAAAATACCTGTGCACCTCCTCCTTCTTTTTTTTTTTTTTTTTTTTTTTGCTAGTTTTGTTTATTGATAGGGGTCTGGTTTAAGGATGAAAACCAATGTCAACTTCCATTCTGGTTTCAAATGACAGCCATACTGCGCTCTACTTTGTTCTATTCGCTCTCTGATTTTAATTGGTTTCTGTTCTCTGGTTGGTTTTGCAGGTTCCCATTCTACTATGAGATAAAAATGGCCTTTGTGATCTGGTTGCTGTCTCCATACACAAGAGGGGCCAGCTTGCTGTACAGGAAGTGTATTCATCCTGTACTGTCCATAAGGGAAAAGGTAATTAAGAGTATCTATTCTCCTCCTCCTTCCTCCCTGTACTTAAACCTATAACATTCCTGTATATCTACCCTGGGGCTGGCAGAGTTTAATCCTTCTGTGAAGTTTTATAGCAGAAGTAAAGACATTGCCTGATTTCAACAATTGAAGATTCCGCTTGACAGCGCACTATCCTGGTTCCAGAAGCTTAATTTATTGCTCTGTTATATTATCCAGCAAAAATTCCATTTACAGTATACCAGGGCACAGAGATTATCTTTGCAGGTAGATAGTGAACACCGGCTAGAAATAAGATGACTCCTTGTCTTGCTGTGGTAGTTATAAACTTTATCATGTGATTAGTTCTCTAGGTCTCTAGTCTACTCTGTCATATATTTATTTCTTTTTTAGCCTTTTCAAAAACCATATAGGTTAGGTAAAGGACTGATTGTAATATACATTTTTTACTATAACTTTGTTTGCGGGGGAAGAATATTATTTACCTTTTTAGTGTATCATTTAGTGGTAGATTTATTTATGTATTTTTTTTAATTGTCACATTGGATGGAAATCTATACATTAGTAATAAAATAAAAATATTGCACCGAACATTCTGTTTGATGGATATACAGACACTGTATTCATGGCTCTGTGCTGATGGCTATTTCAGCCCACTGTCACAGATTAGGGATCCCTCACTGACTCGCGCTTTAGGGAATGCACATGAGTGGGCGATCAGAGTTAGAGCGGGATCATTGCAGGAGTGAACAATGGACTTGTCTGTTGGATATTGGCACCATGAAGAAAATTATGGCGGGTACCATGAGCCATTAAAAACAGTTGCTTGAAATGGGGAAAAATGCAGTTGACCCTTCTAGCTATAAAAATAAATAATAATTGCGTAACATAGTGTTTGACTAGCCTAAGGCCTCCACAGCTCTTTATTCTACCGTCATGAGATTTTCAAGTATAGCCAGGGACAGGCTTGGGGTTGGGTGTGGGCAGCAGCCATAGAGCATAATACTACCAATTTATTATTATTATTATACAGGCTCTAAATAGCACCAACAGATTGCTCAGCGCTTTACAATATAACAGGAGACAATACAGTTCAATACAAGGTTAGGAGGGCCCTGCTCCTTGGAGCTTACAATCTATGAGGGAGCGGCTAGTGGTACAAAAGGTAGTAACTGTGGGGGAATGGACTGGTAGGAGGAGTAGAAGATTCCATTGTTAGCTGAGGGCAGGATAGGCTTCCTGAAGAAGAGATAGGGTTTTTAGAGATCACCTGCTTATGGATACCTTTTTTTTTTTTTTTTTTTTTTTTTTTTTTTTTTTGGGGGGGCCTTTTTTAAATCTCTCTACTTTTAGGGCCCTTTCACACTGGTACATTTAAAAGCTTGGCACTGGCTTTTAAAGCATTCCTTTTTGTTTCATTGCTTGGCACTGGCTGCTAGGCGCTGGCACCTGCCAGCATCCTAACAATCAATGACTCATCTCTGCTGTCAGCAGGGAATTCCTCGGGTGACAGCAGAGTGTAAACAAAGGAGCCGTCATTAAAAAATTGGATTGTAAGAGGGACCCTGTGCCAAGAAAAGATGGCGTTCCTTGAACACCACCCTCAAAATCTGCACCAGATCTTTATCCAAGCATGCAGCCTGGCAGACCACCAACCCAGCCCCAAAGCACCTTGTTGGGGGTCTATGGGTGGGGTGCTTATCGGAATCTTGACGCTCCCTTTAACAATAAGGGGCTTGCAGGTTCTGGACCCCCACTGGAAACATACTTTTTTAGCATGGCAAAAGTGCACCAGTGTGAAAGGGGTCTAGGTTTCAATTACATCTTTTAGCAGTATCTGAGATGTGGCATCACGTAAAACTGATCTTTTGTATCCGTTTCATTTGGATTGATCCTTTTTAACCATTTAAAGATCTTGGGTTAAATGTCTCCAAATACTTAGTGTACCAAGGGCTTCTTTTCTGCCGTGCCCTCTTTGGAGTTGAAAGGCTGGGACATGGCTGTCAGTTTGACATCCAACTCTGTTTCAGGAGCACTGATGTCAACTCCTGTGTGAATGAAGGCTATGAAGAGCGTTTACAAAGTTTATTCTTAACCGCTTGCCTACAGGGCACTTTATAACCCCTTCCTGCCCAGGCCAATTTCCAGCTCTCAGTGCAATCACACTTTGAATGACAATTGCGTGGTCATGCAACACTGTACCCATATGAAATTTTTATAATTTTTTTGTGACAGAGCTTTATTTTGGTGGTATTTAATCACCTCTGGGATTTTTATTTTTTCTTAAACCAAAAACCACAGAATTTTGAAAAAAAAATGGTTTTTTTTCTTAGTTTTTGTTATAAAATTTTGTAAATAAGTGATTTTTCTCCTTCACTGATGTGCGCTAATGAGGCTGTAGTGATGGGCACTGATAGGTGGCACTGATGAGGAGGCACTGGTAGGTGGCACTGATGGGCATTGACAGGCATCACTGATGGTCACTGAAAAGCAGCACTGATAGGCGGCACTGGCGGGTGACACTGAAGGGCTGCTGAGATGGGCACTGATATGTGGCATTGATGTGCACTGGTAGGCACTGATACCTGGCATTGATGTGGCACTGATGGGCACTGACAGCTGGCACTGATGGACACTGACAGGTGGCACTTCTGGGGCCACACTGATCATCAGGGCACACTGATCATCGGTGCCCTGATGATCAGTGTACATGTCCCCTCTGCAGAATGCCGATTACCGGCTCTCCTCTCTAGCTGTCAGCGTGACCGCTCGAGAGGAGAGAAATGCCGATAACCGGCATTTCCGTGTTTACATGTGATCAGCTGTGATTGGACAGAGCTGATCACATGACCGAGCCGACATCATCGGCTCTTTCTGTGGATCGGTGATCCGCTGTGTCCGAGGGACACAGAGCACCGCCAATCGCCGCGCTCCCTAAGCTGCGCATGCGCGGTGAGAATGGAAGGGCGTCAAAAGACGGCCTATCAGAACGAGAGAACCACCTTGCGCCTGTCATTGGACTATATGGCGGGAGGTGGTTAAACACATTGTAAGGGCAGATGAAAGGCTTTTGTTTTTTTTATCCATTTCTTATATGTAATTCAACAACCTGACAAGTCGAATAAACAATAATTATTCTTCACTTCTAATTTAATATTAAAAACTAACTTTTGTCAGTCTAGACAAAAGTTTGTTCTGACTTTAGAATATATAAAGAAGTTATTCTTTTCATTACATTTGTAAGGAGTACAAAAAGGAATAAATGGCATTCACTTGTCTAAAATTATTGCAAAAAGGGGGGGCATACAATCTGTCGTGTAGGCTATTAGAGTATAACATATACAAATATAATCAGAAGTGGGGCCTGTTGGCCCAATAATTGTGGTTGGGAGGGGTAACACCAGTGGAAACAAGGTAACATTATGTAAACTGTTTAGACACATAACAATCAGGTGTGGCTCAGATACTAATTCAATACCTTTATTCCCAGCATTGAACCTTAATACCCTTTGTCTTTCACCATGTAACTTCATGAAAGGTGAGGCGGACCATAACCTAGCCCCCTGCAAAAGATACTAGTGTGTTGTGAACACCTTATGTCAGTAGTGGTGGCTTGAAAAGAAATAATGGATATGATAGGGGGAGGAAACAAAAAAAAGGTGAGAAAAGAATACCTGTGTGGAACTCCTACTGATTCATCAGCAACATTATGAAGAAGGTTGTAAATACTGCATCCAAGAGGACCAAACTTTTCCAAACTATTGCTTGTCCGGGAGGACACAAGTTGTTGTTAAATTATTTTTTTCAAGAGTATTGACAAGAACCTGACTTGTCCCCAAATAATATATGTATGTACTGATATACTTTGGTAACTAAGTAATAAATAGGTTATTTAGGTCCATAAATGTAATTTTTTGTGTTTCTTTTTTTTCCTTTCCTTTTTTTTTTTTTTTTCCTTTTTTTTTTTTTCCTTTTTTTTTTTTTTTTTTCCTTTTTTTTTTTTTTCCTTTTTTTTTTTTTCTTTAAATGCTGTTTGTGTCTTTAAAATACAGCTACTTCATTATCCAAATCCCTAGTCTGCTTCCCCCTACAAAAAGTGATCTTAGATCTTTTATTATTTCATAACACTGACTACTTATGCAGCACTTTGCATGCTGTACATTCACATCAGTCCTTGCCCTCAAGAAGCTTACATGCTAAGGTATCTCACATACACATATTAGGGCCAATTAACCTACTAGCATGTCTGTGGTACATGTTTAAACGGTGTTCCTCCCTCCTATGGGTAGTAATGACAGTTCATACACTCTCTGCTCCTGGGTCAAGGTGGTACAGATTTCTGTGAAGATGCAGCAGGATGAAAGAGGTAAGGCAGGCCAGGCCATTCATTGTGCAATTTTCTTTCCTTCAGCCACAGGCTGAAGGGAAGAAAATTTCTTGATTAACTGTGTTGATGGGGGAGTCCCTCCTTTGCACTACTGTATTCTGTTTCCCCACCACCAAAATACAATGATCACTGCTGGCGGCTATATCCACCGGAAGTGAACGAACCTAAGAAACCTGGTAGGCTGGTTGTTCTGCCTTAACTGGCTGGATTTTAATCTGTCTATGGCTGGTTTAAGGTTCAGTGGGGTGAAGAGTTGGACCTTGCCACACCCACTATTGCAGCACATTTAATTTGTGCTCTGTAGCCTTGGCTACTCTTTGCTTACAGTGCTGCAAAGGGCTGTCGTAGGAGAGCTGTACAATGGTCGATGACATGAGCGATTGTCATGTGAGATGTTTGGTTGTTTCCATTCACTCTTATCTACACTGAGGGATTCCATGTCTGGCTGCAATAACATTTTGGAGCACGGGGATGGCCCCAACTAGCAGTATAAGGCTTAATGTTGTCTGTCTAGGTGCCAAACAAATTGCAGTTACACACAGTGCTTTTAAGTATTTAAAAAAAAAAAAAAAAAATCCTTTAAGAGTGCCTAAAGAATGCACTTTGTACTGCCACATCATGTATACCTTTTTCATGCTTCTGTTTTAAATCCCCCTTTCTGTGTCTCTTTTGCTTTTTTATTCTGCATGGCTTCATTATTTTTTCCCCGTCCTTACTCGACCATTCACTCTGAATGATATGCTGATTACGCTCTCCTGATTGCTATCCTGTGTTCTTTCACACATATAATAGTTGACTCTTTTATGCATTACACTTTTGTATGGCTGATAACAGTACACCATGCCATACTATATACTTTCAGTGTAGGCCAGTTGTGCGAGTTTCCCATTTTCTATACCTGCTTTGATAGGATGGCACATGACAAACACACTTCTTGTGAACTCTAATAGTTTTCCTTCTGCTGTTATGAGCCTCTCCACACTGGGCTGTGATATGAGTCCCTCAGTGATGGAGCTGCCTTCAGGCTACTCCCAGATTCCAGCAGCTTCTTCTGTCCTGACCTGTTTCTCCTCTCAGAGAACAGCTGCTGGAAGAGTGTCTGAGACCTGTAAATAGCTCAGTGTTAACCCCTTTCCTGCTGAGCATGACTCATGACCTGAATCTCTGTTTTTCTTCCTAGGAGATAGATTCTTATATTGTACAAGCAAAGGAACGAGGCTACGAGTCTGTGGTCACTCTTGGTCGAAAGGGTCTGAATATTGCCGCTAGTGCTGCCGTGCAGGCAGCCACTAAGGTACTTCATGATAAGTTTTTTTTGGGAGGTTTTCCTATTAAAATACCAAGTGAATACACAGAACAGTGAACATTGGTGAAATATTGTTTTTCATAAAGGGGTTCTGTAAGCTATACCATTTATTAAAATGTCTGCCCCAATGTGGAGCCTCCGGTATCCCATGGCATTCTCTCTGGTTAATGCAGCAGAGAGAAATCTGATTGGTAGAGAGGCTTGTCACCTGACCATGACAGCTGATGTGTGTCTGTCTGCTCCATTTAGAAAAATAGTATTTTGCAGCAGATGGCTAAGCACATGTATAAAACGATTCCCCCCCCCCCCCTAAATAAATGGAATTGAACAGAATATATATTCTACAGTTACAACAAATATGACTATAAATCAGAAGGAAATTCCTCCTGAACATCCCCAAGTAGATAAGGGCTACACATCCAGTTAATTTATGCAATATCGTGGTGGGAACTAGACAGGATACAAAAAACATACAAGCATTCAGAACAGAATCCGACACGAATGAGTCTGAATTACTCACAGCCAAGACATTCAGGTAACTTGGTTCCCCCTGGTGGTGAAATTCCAAATCTAATAAATGTGTACTATTGTGTAATATGTACAAGGGACTGCTTGTGACAGCTTAACAAGAATGTAAATAAAGTAGTCCATATGGCAGGTTTTGATACAGTAAAATGTTTATAGCAAAAGGTTCAACTGTGAATAGGTTATATACAAGAACTTTTACCAATGTGCTCAGATTTACAATTATTAATGTGAGAATATTATTATTTTAATTAGCATTCACAATCTCTGTACCCAACAAACTTGTAAACAAAAAAGATAATACAGTCCACACAAAAAGTTGAAGCACACTTGTAGTTTATGAAGTCAAAGAAAGTATAAAGTACCAGCAACAGTTGTGAGCATATCCATGCTTTTTGTCAAGCTTGTAAAGGAGGAGTATAGCAATGCATATTGGCCCCATACAATCTCCAACACACATGTGATACCTGAGGATTCCAACTTAAAAGGGAAAAAATACCAAATGCAGTTGCATAGATGAATCGACATAACATCTGATCCAAAATATCAGAATAATAAAAAAAAAAATGAATAAAACACTTTATCAGTAACATCAGCTTTATTGACTTTGTTGAATGGGAATGTTGGAAAATTATCATTTGATCAGCAGCTGCAGCGCTGATTAGTGTTTTTTGATAGCAGAGGAATCCCTGCTGTCATTACACAATAGCACAGAGGGGAGGAATCCTCCATCCACCTTGCTTGTGTGTTTTGGTCACAAAGGGGTTTATTTACTAAAGCTGGAGAGTCCAGAATCGGACTCCCTTCTGCATAGAAACCAATCAGCTTCCAGGTTTCATTGCCAAAGCTTCATTGAACAAGCTGAGGTTAGAAGCTGATTGGTTTCTATGCAGAAGGGAGTCTAATTTTGGACTCTCCAGCTTTAGTAAATAAACCCCAAATTGTCTATGGCTAGCCTTAATCAGTCTGCATTTTAGGGGCTGTCCTTGAAAAAGAAGTATGTGTGGTGTGCTTCTTCCTTTTTTTTTTTTTTTTTTTTTCCTGCCATCATGCTTACCTAGGTTTTGCAGCATTAATCTGATGCTGCATCTGTCCTCTGCTCGATCTATCTAAAGGTGAGAACTGAGCAATCAAACACTACTAAACGCTCGGTTCTTCCTCCAGCTCTGAGCAGAGAGCAGTGGCTATCGGTCACCGCTGTCTGCTCTGCTTCCCCCCCCCCCAACACTCACTCGAGTGCTGGGCTCGAGAGAGGGTGTAAGTGGCTGGCTCAGGCTCTCAGCGGCTCACTGAGAGCCTGTGCAAGTCCAGGCATCTGGGTGGATCCTGACTTTAAAGTCTGGATCTTTCCTCCGCTTGGTCTGGCTGAGTGACGTCAGCCAACAGCAGACTTTAGCCTGCTGTCGGCTGAAAATGGGTCACAGGAGTGCAGAACGAACTGTGGTACACAGGGAAAGTACAGACAAACAAGCTTTGGCTGTACTTCTCCCTGTAAATATTTTGGAGGTTTCAAAAGTCATCAGCATCAACCTACAGGCAAATCCTGGTATCATGACCTGGACCTTGTTTTCCTATTGTAGGTGAGAACTGTTACATTTACTGGTCTGACTAAAAGGCCTCATATAAGGACTTTCGCTCTTGCTGGGCAAATCAACAGGATCACCTGGTCTTTTTAGCAGCATATACTCACTCATCTTTCCTTTTTCTTCCCTGCTGCTCTGCTTAGCTGCAGAAAATACACAGTACTAGGAGCATGTGACTCACTTCTTCTGATGGCACTGCTGACTTAGTCCAGGTCTAAACATATGTTTGGACTAGAAATGCAGCTTGAGCTTACATAGGACTGCTTTTCTTTGCATTATGTAAGCAGAGCACATCAATAAAATAAAAAAAAAAAAAAATCCTGTTTTTGCTTTGAAACCTGTACTGAAAGAATGCTGACTTCCGCATTGAAAATTCTAGTTGTGGTGATCAGTCATTTTTAAAAACGTTTCAGTTACTGACCTGTAATGAGTGTGTAGATCAGGAATTTTGAATCTGTATACTTGTACCAGATCAGTATTTGAACAATGGACTGCCAGACAGCCAGAGGTCAGCAATGGTAGCCTACATATGTTTTTAATTATATATTGAATTTGAAGTGTTATTAAACTGCAATAGCAAAATTTTATTATATTGCAACTCACAAATTTTCTTAGATGTGATGGCTGCATTTGTTTTTTGTTTTGTCTTTTTTTCCCTTTTTTTTATTTGGTGATCCAGCCAGTAAGTCTGTTTTTCAACAAAACAAACTGTCTTGCAGATATAGCAGCTAGAGGGTTGAGACAAACCATTTACCACTGACAGGAGTGCTTACTATGACCAGCTTTTATTTATGTAAAACCTTTATCCTAAAAGGAACAAAAATGTTGCAATCGCTGTAACTGATTCTAAAGTGTTAACTGGAGTTCAGCTACAATTTTAGTATATCGATATCTACTAGTTCATCTAACACTTCCCTCCCCCAAGATTAACAATGCTGCTGTCCAAAGGTTCCGTCTGTGCTCCTTCACCCAGAGTGGGGGCCCTCTAATATAGGAGGTGTGTCACTGGTGAGATCATCAGGTGAATACAGAGGTGGGGGAAGGGGGGGCCTAAAAAATGAAAACTAATGCAGCCACCACATTTTAGGATTGGTAAACTGCAATATATTACATTTTAGGTTTGGGGTTTAATACTGCTTTAAGGTACATGTGGACATGTAGTTGTTTACAGTTGAATTGAGCAATTACAGGGGATTATGTTATGTGGTAAAGCGTTTGTCATTAACCCCTTCACGCCTAAGTGTAAAACAAATCTAAATGCCTAAGCACAATTTTGCAACGTTGACATGTGTTAGTAAAACTGTACATATCACAACTACTTTGTACATCCAGGTGGATTATCCCATGTTTTTTTTTTTCAGGACAAATTGGGCTTTCATTTGGTGGTAAATGGTAATGGATATAGCCTGATATTATATATTATATATATATATATATATATATATTTTATATATATATATATATATATATATATATTTTTTTTTTTTTTTTTTTAATTTAGCTGTGTTTCTTGTTAGTACCATAACCTACCACCAAAGAACAACCAAAAATAAGTACGGTATGTTATTTGTTGTTTGTACCCGTAGTACAAGCTCATAAACAATAGTGCACATTTTGTTTGTATTTTTTTTTTTTTTTTTGACCTTACCTTTAAATCCTGACCTTGACCCAAACACTAACCCTGGCACTGAACTAGATCAAGCCTTGATCTAGGTATTTTTTTCTTTATTTTAATATTTGTAAAAAAAAAAAAAAGTGTTTTTTTTGTTTTTTTTTTTTTTTTTTTTTCCCCTCTGTTAGGAATTAGAAAGATACAATGTATCTCTCTCCTCCATTCATAGAGAGAGAAAAAAAACAAGTGGGCGGGGATGTACAGTGACCGGTCACTGTGATCGCCAATCAGAGGCTATCACAGCAATCATGTGACCAGGAATCGGGAGTCCCGGGTCCCGATTGTTAGAACGGGACCCAGGGCTCTCAGTGACACCGCGGTCTTTGTGCTGGGAGCACGCCGTGCAGCATGCTCCCAGCACAGACAGGTACGCAAATATGTGGCCCACGGAAAACAGCCCAGTTCTGTGAGGCCGCATATTTGTGTTACGTCGGCGTCAAGGGGATAAGTGTAGAAAATGGATTTGGCTGTATGCACACCTTTGCATTCTGGTAGCGTGTAACATTCTGTAGTGCCATACATTTTGTATGGCACCCCATGCAGTATGGCAACACACCTACATTGTAGCACACTGCAGCACACAGTAGTTTGTTGCGTTAGGGGAAAAAAAAAATTTAATTTTAAGCATGTTGGGTGTATTGGCAGTCCATCCATTTTGACTGGAACACAATTAACACTGCGTAGATGTAAATGGGCCCTTCATGTATATCTAACCATGAACTGACTGATCACCTATACTGAAGAATTATTTGGCATACTTTTAGCTATGTATTGGGGGAACCAGTGCCTACTACAATGGTTGGTTTCACTGAATTTGCTAAGATTCGTGGTTAACATATGTGTTTGGTTTTTGTTGTATACTGAAACAACATTGTTTTTCTATAACTAGCACATTTTATGTTTAGGGACAAGGAGCCCTGGTTGGGCGTCTGCGCAGTTTCAGTATGCAGGATTTACGGGAGCTCCCGGATGATGCCCCAATACACTACAGAGACCCACTTTATCCAGATGCAGCTGATCTCCAGCGACGCCCCATAGGTGAGTCATGAATAAGGAGAATTCACTATATTTTATAGTACTAGCTTGAAGTCTGTTCTTTTTTTGTGGTTTATATAGCTATGGTTAGTAACTACCATAAATCTACATCTAGAAAATGAATATATCATTAAATCACATATTGAAATTGCAACATACATTATTGTTATTGAAAAAAAGAACCATAGGAAGGGACTTATCAGTCAGCCTGTTTTGTATGCTATCTACAGGTTATAATAATGTATGCAATCTGATCAGCACATGGGTGTGTTGAAAATGGAGCCGTGAATCTCAAGTTACAGCATTTGTTCAGACCCAGACATCTCCAGGCAGTCTGTGTTGGCTATATTTATTTGCTAAAAAGGAGCAAAAGTTCAACACAATTCACCTTTCAGGACAATCCACAGCAGTAAGGAGGTTTTTGTTACTCCTGGAGTTCTAAGTGACAAGGCAGTTCTTGGTTTTTTCCTGTAGTTTCACATTAAAGTAGATCAACTACAGCCAAAAAAAAAAATTCAGTAACACGTGTAGAAAGTGGAATGTTTACCTGCCTCTGCTTGTAGTTTGGATGGAACATTTTTGAAGGAACAGTGTTGTGGAATGCAGTAATGGGCTTGTGGCAGGATATGGATCTTGTCTGCAGTGCAAGTTGTGTCTGAGCAGTGATGAGAACCAGCTATAGAATATTCTGTGAGAGTTGGTGAGTCGATGGATAGTGTCTTGCCTATTTGAAGTAAATACTATGTTTTCTTGTTGTGAGGTTGTTTCTTAGCTAGTATAGACAAAGTACAGGTTTTGCTATTTGTACTTTCCTTGAATAAGGCAGGGAGTGTACAGAATAAGAAGGGGCAAGAATTAATAGGAGATGAATTTTTGTTGACCAGGTGGAATTTTCCATTTGTTTGTTTTAAAGTACTTTATTTTGCTGATTTGTGATTCTCTATATGTCACGTGGATGAAATGCTGGCTTGGGATTTGTTAAAAACTGAACTTATTTTTGCAGGTTATACCACTCAGTCCCAAGCTGACAGTGACTCTATGGATGAGAGGTGGTCTGATTCAGAAACCAGAACTTCAGCGAGAACACGAGGTGGTCTGCCTCCAAAACCATTACAGAGGAGCCAAAGCCTAAAGGTCACCAAGAAGAAGGGGCTAAGCAGAGAGGTGAGAATCGGCCTATTGCAGACACTGTGTTAGCATTATATATACTGCTAAAAGCACTCTATCCTGCAGCAGATTCTATAGGCTGCCTAGTCCTATTGTATTATGCCTCATTTCTTATACAACACATTGCTGCTTTACTGTATGTCTTGGTTTGCTCAGAAGCACTTTGGGCCCATTCACACTAGGGACTTCATGTGGGTTGGGGGGGGGGGGGGGGGGGGGGGGGGGGGGGGGGGGGGGGGGGGGGGGGGGGGGGGGGGGGGATGGGACGGAGTGGGTGAGAGAAGAGGGGGTAAATGAGATGGAGGGTGGGGGGGTAAGAGAGCAGAGGGGGGGGCGGAGGTTACGGGAGGCTGAGATAGAGGGAAGGCAGTTCAAAAGAGAGGGGGGTGAGCGAGGAGGAAAGCGGGCAGGTGAGGGGCTGAGAGAGAGGGAGGACAGTTCAGTTGGGAAGGGGGGGAGGGAAATGGGAGAGGGGGAAATGAGAGAGAGGGAGTGAGTGTGAGAGAGGGAGGGGACAGAGACAGGGGAGTGAGAGAGGGGGGCTCCCCTACCCCCCAATACTACACTGGGTGACACCCCCCCCCCCCCCCCCCCCCTCTTCAAATTTTATAGTGCAGTCTGTAAATTCCTTTTAGCAGGGTGCAAGGTTCCCCAATCATCAGCTGTGGTAAAGGATTCAGTGTACCAATAATATTATGGACTCCTCTCACCTTCCCACTGCCCACCAGCTCCATCACCATCAGCGTGTGGCAAGGCACTACCACTCCCTGGGACCCCAACATGCTCTGCCACTATGTGAAGTGAAAGGAGAGCTACTTCCAGGATCTGAGACTGCTTCCTCCTCCATTCCCAACATTGTCAGCGGCAGTCCTCTGCTCTTTGGGCACACGTTTCTCCCGCCTCCCCATCCGATCCATTCTGCCACATCCTGATCAGAGCCACATTCCTGTCTGAATAATGTGTCCAGGTTTTGAGGCAGCAACATTATTCAGACAGACCTAAATATGCTGCCTCTGTTTGACATCTGTAGAGCCTCTCATGGGGCCTCTTACTGACCACGGGCCCCCAGGCAATGCCCGAATGGTCAGTCCACCCCTGGCAGCATGCCGTATAAATGGTCCTGTACTTCTGTATCTTACAGTGTCCTATGTTATACTAGGTCACACACCATGTGGTGTTATACACATTGTACAGACTGATATACAGACAATTTGCAATAAACTAGAATAGGATGTGCATACATCTTACCACAGAATGCAATAGCACTAGCAATCTATGTCCAATAGGGGAGTTTTCCCTTCACTTCCTGTGCCACAGCCAAAATGGGAAGTCACCAGGATTCCCTCACTTTGGAGGAATTTCCTATGTCACCAGGGTTTTCAGAACTAGTATCCCCACTGGAAAATTTCACCTTCTATTACTCTTCTGGTGTCAACTCAAAATTTGGGTTTTTTTTTTTTTTACTTTCATTTTTTTAAGACATTGAGAGGGTGAATCTCCCTAACGGGGGCACAGAGAACAATGAAAACTGGCAGGCGTTCTAATTCTTCACTCTATCTATAACCAAGTTTTTTTGCTTTTAGTTACACTTTTAACAGTGAAAATTGTTTACTTATATGCATTTCAGCTGCATATTTGGGATCTTTCTTGGCATTCTACTTTAAAGCAATTTATAAAGGTTACGATAGTGTTTTTTTTTTTTTTTTTTTTTTTTTAAATTAAAATTAATAAACGTGGTATACTTACTCTGCAATGATGTTGAACAGAGTTGCCCCGAACCTCTTCCTCTGGTGTCTCTTGACAGTGCTTTCTGTTCCTGTTTTTCTGTGTCTGCCGCCATAACAAATCACTTACTAGGGGGGCTAGACATGTAGGCTCGCTCCCAAGCTGGGCTGTGTGTCCATAGACACACATGATGCAGCTTACCAACTCTGCCCCCCCCTCACAGGATCCACTGATCCCCCGCTGAGCAGAACAGAGTGGGCAGATGACAGGTCCATGTCTGCTCTGCTCTGATCTGTCCAGATTGGGGGTAAGTGGTTGTAAACTGACTTCCGGTCTAAAGGATTACATGGGCCAATCGATCAGGTCCACCTGAAAAACTAACAGTCAGACCTGATTGCATAACCTGTGCGAGAAAAGCCTAATATAACATTTAGGGTCCATTCACACCAGCCGCCGCTTTATAATACAGCGGCTGGTGTGCTGTGTGGTGCACTGGTTTTCTTTTGTTTTTTTGTTGTTTGCTTACAAACTTTATTGAAATGTCACACAGTTCAATTGGCCACCATGTGATGTGAGGTGGTGTCTCGAGCTGTGCTGGAAAAAAAGAAGCATGCGCTACTCTTTCTTCAGTGCACTGTGTCCGCACACTACTGCAGCACACAGGAGAGAAGGCATTTTTCCTTTTGCCTGTCCTGTGGTGGGACTGCACTGGAATAACCACTCAGAGCAGTCCTACCGCATCTGGTGTGAATGGACCCTTAAGAAACATGTTCCTGGGTCATCATAGCTGTTTGACATGTGTTCTAGGCAGATCTATGCAGCGGTTTATTCTGATATGACAGTACATCCATGACACTCTGGGTATGAGACCTGTATATTATAGATATGATGATATGGATGTCTTATACCCTGATCTTCATGACTGTATTGTGTATGTGCTGTTCCATGATTTTTCATTGCTGTTTAAAAGAGCCCCCTCCCCCAGCCAGTCTTGGCTGACTCTGCAGCATTTCATTCAGTGCCTGACCTCTTGTAATTGTTCATGTGATTGAATTGCAGGGATCTGCAAAGAGCAGTAGACCACGAGCGAAGAAGAAGGTGGTTCAGTCTGAATCAGAGATGTAACCAATGGAAACAAGGAGTATATCTGAGGAACTCGCTCCACCCACGTCCTCAAAGAAAGCTGAAAACACTGAATTTTACTTTCCTGCTCACACTGGCTGTGTGTTACAAGGCATGCCTTCACAGTGTCCGTCATCTGTAAATATTGGATATGTGTTGCTGTCTGTCACTGTATCTGACGGGATGTGTCCATGTGTACAAGTACATGCAGATCTATAGATATGTCTCACTCTACAGATACAGTTGTTTTTTTCTTTAAAATTTGTTTTATTCTTTTGCCTGGAAAAGCCACGTGTCTCCTTGCTACCAGTCTTTAGGTCATTCTAATTAATCAGTAATATTAGGTGTGGTTTACTGAGGCCCCTCCCTTTGTCTGCTGTACAGTGCTGTTACACATGACTAAATAGAAGGGCTGGATTCCTGGAACTAGAATTTAATGGATGGGGCTAAATACCTTACCTCTCTATATATTGCTCTTCTGCCTCTTATCGCTGTCACATTCCCTTACTCTTAATTCCTTGATCTCATCCTAGGAAAATAAAGTCTTACTTTACCAGGCATCCAGATAGAGACTAATCTCTGTAATTAAAAGAGAGATCAGAATCCTGCATGGTTGGAAGTAATGGGAAATTGCCACTCCACTTTTTAACGGTTCCTTCTACAATTCTCCCATATCCTTTATTTTTTTTTTTTCTGTGCCTTTGTCTATACTAAACTTTTACACCTCAAACCAGAGTCTGAGAAGCCGCCGCATTGCTGTGCTCCACCTTTCACAGGCTGCGTGCCTTTGTGCACACTTTGGTAGTGTTCAACATGCAACGTTTGCACAATTGTTCAGTACTAATGAGTCCAGTTTATGTCCCTAGTACCCTATAAGCTTGTTACTCTATTGAGTATTTTTTAATTTTTTTTTTTTTTTGATGATTGGGATTGGGGATTCTGGATCTGTCTCCTGTTCATCTTTGCTGTTTGACTTCTGTTAGACTCTGATGCACCTTCCAGTTCACCGTTGGGCCATAATTTCTAGAGCTCCTAATACTATGCATTTTTTTTGTAGTGAAGCAGCTACCGAAAAGCCAAAGAGATGTGAGCAGTCTGTGGGAAATGTGCAGCTCAGGATTTACTTGTGTGTAGCAAACTTTAATGTGTGTTTTTCATGGCATCAGAATTCTGGAGTCTTGCACCTGGGCAAACCCTAATGTTCCATACTTGTGTATTGTATTGTACAGTTGATCACAGGGAAGGGGTGTAGGTAGTGGAATGTGATTGGAGAGCTCTACTGTCATGCTGCAGTGCCTGTTTTGACATTTCTTGTGTGGGTTTATTCTATGAATAATGCCAAGAGCCTATTCACTTTACTAAAATCAGGCCAAAAATAAAATAGACTGTGATTGGTTGCTGTGGGTACTTACATTTGCACATCAATTTTATCCTTGCACTTGTTCTTGAATAAGCATAGAAACATAGAAAAGCAACGGCAGAAAAAGACCAAGTGGTCATTCGTGTCAGCCCCAGAGACATTAACAATGTATTCCTACAGACATGTGGGTTGGGTTACTAAAGATGGAGAGTGCATAATCTGATGCAGATCTTTATAGAAACCAATCGGCTTCCAGGTTTTTGTCAAAGGTTAATTGAACAAATTGAAATTAGAAACCAATACCATGCACAGCTGCACCAGATTTTGCACTCTCCTGTTTATGTAAATCAACCCCATTGTATTCCATATATAGGTTTTGGGTGTTCATTAGCAGTGTTTTGAAAGTTCTTTGCTTTTGCTAAAATGTTACCCAAACCCTGAATGAGCTGTCAGCACTTGATGCTTTTTTCATAGACAAGCATAAAACAGCCTACACTAAGGTTTGAATCCACCTTCTTGTACTCCGCACAAGCATGTAAGGCAAGGAAGACAAATTATATTCATCTTGTTCTTTGATAATTTTCTACTAGGTAAAAAGGACATAAGAGTAAGTGTGTTGTCCTATAGAAGCGTGTTGTATAGACGTTCTTAAAATGTTTACACTTCTTGCTGGTCTTATTGGATACCTTTTCAGCCTTTACAAGCATAACAAATCAAACTGATATTGAATACTACTTGTATTGTTTGATTTTTCCTTGTCTTACCAAATCAGAAGGTGGAATTAGATTTTAAAGGGGTCCTGCCTTTTGTCTAAAGCGTGCGTAAGGTAATAAAATGTTTGTAGTTCAGTCACCTTATAGTGCCAAAAAGAACCTGCGTTAACATGCAGGGGTTAGACAAAAAAAATGGATACAGTACATAATTTGCAGGTGTGAACATTGTGACCTGTTAGCACTGCAAAAGAGAAAAAATGTTACATCACTTCTGCTTTCAACACGAACAGGTGGGAAGCCTCATTTTCGTCATTCACTGTGAGCGCTGCTAGTAATACGGAGTCATGTCAAAGCTTACTTGGCTTCAAAGAGGGCAAATTGTTGGTGCCCGCTTAGCTGGTGTCTCTGTGACTGAAGTTACTAATTTATTTGCCATGTTGCCAGGTAGAGTATCAAAGGTTATGACGGCATATACCATTTCCGGGAAACCAACGTCTGATGAGCATAAGCACATTCGACACGGTCAAGTGACTGAAAGCGACAAAAGGAAATTGTGCAAGATTGTGACCCAGACATAAACAAATGATGCAAAAGTGACTGCAGAGCTCAATCTGTCTTCACCGGACTGAGAGTGAGCTCTGCAGTCACTTTTGCAGCAGTTGTTTTCTTATTCTGGGTCACAATCCTGCGCAATGTCTTTTTTTTTTGTCTTTCAGTCATTTGATCATGTTGACCGTGCTTCTACTTCTCAAACAATGTTTTCCCGGAAACTGTATATGCCGTCATAACCTTTTGATACTGTACGTGGTGGCACCTCCAGTCAGAGGCGGTAGCTAAGCGGGCACCGACAATTTGCCCTTTTTGAAGCAGACATTACTCCGTATTACTAGCAGCGCACACAGTGAATGATGATAGTGAGGCTCCCCACCTGTTAGCCTGTTACATCACTTCCGCTTTCAAAGCAAAACATGTTGTCACTTTCACACCTGCAAATCCATTGAGTATTGTTTTTTTTTGTTTTGTTTTTTACCCCTGTAGCATGACAGGAAGCTACATGCCTCTGTTGCTTTAGGCATAAAAACCAACTTTATTGTTCTAGCGCTGTTGAGAACAATATCCAGCTACTCTCCGGAATGTTTCGCCCCCTACTGGAGCCTAATTGTTGAGATGTGAGAACCTGCAGCTGAGATGGTGACAACTATGATCCTTTTTGAGAGGTACAGGGGGCACTAAATACTTGCATTAGCCCTTGAATTGCCTGTACACGGGCCTTACTTCCTTTCAATCTAAGACTAAGCTCGGTCCCCTCTGTGGACTCTGCCCCACCACTGTCAGTGAGAAAATACAGCATATTCTGTACACTGTGTCTTTAGGATTTGACACTAGAACAATAGAGCCAGGCTTAGCGCTGGAAAGGAACAGCGCTTATTCATGACTTGGAAGACAGTTGAGTCCCTGTGTACAGTCATGATCTAGGATCAATGGAGATCCACAGACCCACTGGATTTCTAATGGGACTGGTAGATGTCTGCACTACAAACCTTATTGTTGGCTTAAGCACTTTTAAGGACAAAATCGAGTTTGTCAGAAGATCAGGTTTACTTTAAGTTCTGCAAGTTGGCAATGGACTACCAGCCACAAAGCTTGCTTTAAGGAGCATCTCCAAGCAACAAATGAAAACCATCACGTTTAATCAGTTAATCTTAATATGTTTATTTTATATGTCTGTGTACCTAGATTCAGCAAACCTGTGCCCCTTTGCCACATGACTCTTTGCTGTGCACATTCCTCTGTGTCTGCAAATGTATTGTAGGGCCCTTACTGTGTTTCAATCTTAGGAATTGGTGTTACTAGACTTTAAGTAGTTGAGTGGCCTGGTGCCCTTGTTAAGGCTATTTTACATTTTAAAGCGTATATTTAGACTTCTAGCATGCTATGGTGCTGGGCAAAATGATCTTTTATCTATGCTGTAAGCATTCTGTGATCAGAATATATACAGTAGTCACGTGCACAGATACTTTCTTGCAAATGTGCCTCTGATGCTTGCAGGATACACAGTTGCTATACACTTCTGTCAGTTATTGTGAAGGTATGTGTACAACACATTTTGTTGGGTGCGCTAATTTATTTTTAACTATTCCTTATTTTTTTATTGTAATAGTATTTGATGATTTTGATTTAAACAGCAATATGTTGTACTGATTCAAACCAAGAATAATTAGCAATATTAGTACATAAAAAAACCTTTAACAGTCTAACATTTAAAAATTGGACCTTTTCTCCATTTGGAAATTAAAAAAAAAAAAAATGTGATATTTATATATTGTGTATCTTCTCTTATGGCTGTACCTTGAATTACTAGTAGTTCCCCAGTGGAACATACTCTTCTATGGTGAAACAGACTCCTAGAAACATGGGTCTGTTAGGGTTAACTAGTTAGGAGCTGGGAGACATGTTTATAGGTTTTTTTTCCTATGTCAAATCTGAGCATGGATACTCATAAAGGCTCTACAAATGTTCCCAGATATAGTTGAGGGGACCTAACCCTGACTTCTATGTGACACAGAATTCTCATTTCTGGAGTGGTAGAGAATACTTTACTGCTTTTCCAGAACTCGTAGACCACATGCTTATTTCAGATCTGAGATTCAGTGAATGGGTTCAGCTTCACTGCCCTAGAACTAGCAAGTGGCATATAAGTTGGGGTCAAGCCACTAGAGCATTCCCATACAAGTGTTTGCCTTGTTGAAAGTTCTCTTTAAGATGACGAAGGGGGTGATTTTACCCTTTTATACACAGGCTATACACTCTTTAATTTATAAGTCTTTTACCAACTTTGAAATTACCAAAATGTCCTAGTTACCCACATCAGTCTGATGGCCATATTGAATGTCTTTGTTATAAAGATACAGAACATTTGTTTTATGTTT